CAGCCTAATAAATGCCATTGTTTGTTTACAAGAAATATGAGTGAAAAAAAAGGTACCTAAATGCTTACGCTGGACTAAAATGCAGTAAATCATGCCCAAACCTATTCATTTCAACACTATTTAAATGTAGCCTGCATGGTCCTTCACAAAGCTACAGTAAACTGGTGGTGAACGGCTATTTTTCCTTGGGAAAGTGTAACATGTGCGTGGAAACATAGGCTAACGGTGTGTGGGTGGGTGAGGCATGCTGTGTGCAGTGTGAGAGCGCAGCGGCGGGAGACTTTATGAACGGTACTGAACAGAGAAATGAGGAAACAAAGATCGACAGTACGTGTGGAGGAAGCTGGTGCAGAAACAATGAAACCAAATCTGCTTGTCCACAGTCTTAGATGCGGGTTAAATAAGTACTTATCGTGTCTCTGCGTTTTGTGTCGCTCAAAGCTTCGCACGGTGCGAAATGTCAGCTCTGTGTTCATGCGCCTCCATTAAATAAAGCAGCGGCGGCAACGCGGCTGCCGCGCGAGCCACGGAGCTCGCGAGAGGGATATTTCCTTTCCTCGCGGACGGAAAAACAAGTGGAGGAAGGAGAGGAGGGGCTGCGCGCGGCAGCTGGGCCAATAAAAGCAGCAGCTTCTCAACAGGCGGGTCTTGGCCGAAGGACGCGCAAATGAAGCTCCGTGGCCCCACGTGGGATGTGAGATCCCAAAGACAACGAGCGGGCTGTAGGCCAATCAAGTTTGGGCAAGGTGTTAATCTTGATCCCCATTGGCTCGTTGTTTTTCACAGAGTCCGCTCACTCATCACGTTTAGTCCGTTGTTATTAACTCTTTCCTACCACACAGGAAGGTGCTGTGCTGCCTATAAATCACACACGGCACTGTAATAGTCAAATGTGAATTAATAAATGATTCAGAGGCGGTTTGTTTTTAGAAACACGATACATCAGTTAATCCGAACTGTTTCAAAGAGTCGTTTCAGAGACACTGAAAGAAAAAGAGATGGTAATGCAGTGAACTACGTTGGAGCCCACAAGGCGACCAGCGCAGATCCTGCTGCAGCCTTTAAACCCTGCGTTGCCCTCATCATAATCAAATCAGCATGCACGGAAACCTATGGGATTAAAAGCACATGAGAGGAGCATGCATGCAGTGAGCTATAACCACATTCACACATCCAGGGTCTAAAACTGTAGGGTCCGAGCGGCTTCTGCCGGTCTCCTCTGAAAGCCACAGAGGCATCTAAGCTCGAGTGAAAATTATTATAACACAATGCCCCGCCCGCCGTTTGGAATTTAGTCCCGAGCTTTACAGCTGATAAGACTTTCCTTGTTTGTTGGCGTCATACAGTTTCTCCAAAGCACGAGACATTAAAAGCAGCCATTTTAAATAGCACTAAAGTCCTCCCCTCCTACGCTCTGCAGTCACACAGGCACCAACACTGACACACCAAGCATCAATCTTCTCTCGCTTTTTTTGAACCTCCAAAAAATATATAGGCAGCGTTCATATAAATGAGTTACACAAGAAGGTTAGTACTGCCCCTAAGAGGTGGCTTTCAGAACTGCAGGCAGCGGCGATTGGATAACCCATTATTTTACGATGAATAAAAAATTGGCTAAATAACTTTTTGGAGAGAAGAAGAATAACTAGGTCTAGGCTAGCCAGTAAAAAGCATATTCGAGACAAGAGTAGATGTTTTGTAACCATCCATGAAAATTACATATATTAGTGTGAACACAGCATATTGTAGTCATTTTCAGCATATGAAGATTTCTCCAAATATAGTTGTAAAGCAATTGTTCCATTCTCATCTTATGCATATAATATTTCAGCAAAACCTACTTGTTAAGCTACATTAAACCTACATTGTTTTACGGTTAATAAATATGTTACAGAGCAGTAATGAATTACCTCTTTTTTTTTAAGGACCTCTGAGATTTTCTGTGCTTTGGGGCCTTAAAATTTGGGCCCCAACCCAGAGGTAGAGAATCACAGATCTGGACTGGAAATACATAAACAGTGTCTAAGAAGTAAATGCAGTGCTAAAACAACAAGACTGAGCCACAACCCCAAAGACACGTCCCTTTTATTCAGTTCACAACCTTTAAATTGAAGCAACTAGATGAGAAGAGGAAAGTAAGAATTGAGGTAAAAACATAGCATGGGCCAGAAAACAGCCTTCAATCTGTGTGTACACGCGTGTGAGTGTGCTTGTGTGTGCGTTTGTGTGTGTGTGGGAGGGGCGGCTCCCAGAGCAGTGGGGCACTGTGGGGTATGAGGGAGCACCCCGCAGTCCCCAGTAATGGCAGAATAGAACTTAATAGGGTAGAAAAACGCTGGAGGCTGTTAACTTAGAAGCGGTCATTTTGAATTGGCCATTCTTTTCTTCACTCACTCCTTTTCTTTCCCATCCTTTCCCCCAAACAGCCACTACGTCTTAAACTTCCAGGCTTGTGTCATTTACTATCTCACACTGTCCCTTCCTTGCTACCTTGCTTTTCTTTCCTTTCCTTTTGCATCCTCCCTATTCATTCCCCCTCTTGCTCCTCCCTCCGTGTGTCTCCTTGGAGGAGGTGTAATGATAGCTATTTGAGTGTCATCAGAGAGCGCTGTAATGGCTTCTAAAGCACCATCCCACGGTTGCTACGGTGAACCTGGCATAGTCGCCATCTCAGAATAAGGGAGGGGGGACTAAAACATGTGGTAGGCTACGGACAGGCATCAGGGTTGAGACAGCACAGGAATATGAAGTCAGTGACGCAGCCCCTGGGGTCCGCAAACAGCAAGCTAATGATGCGTGGGATAGGATACATATGACAACTATAGTAATAGTGATAATAGTAATGAAAATAATAGCAATCATAACCATAACAGTTATGATTTTTTGTTTATAGAGTAATGTGCATGCCCTAGCACCTCTGCTATTCTGTTCTGTGTGCCGCTTTTACATGTTTGCATAGCACTGAATGCATTTATCTAACCAGGGCTGCACAAATGACAACAACAAACTATTCTTATTTGCGACAATGAAGTTTTAAAATTCCAATGTCCCCTCTTAATATTCATGAAAACGGGATGTGAAAGGGAATAGTTAAATGTTAGAATAAAAGTTAAACGTATGTCTCTTATAATATTGTGGTGATATCTCATTGTTTTAGTTCATCTGGATGCAGAGGAACTGAAAAAAAAATCTGGTCTTTCCAACATCTGAGTAGTAGGCTATGTGTCATTAAGAATGATTATGGAAAAATTTTGGGTGACGTTAGGAAGTGACATTTGGGGTAGGGGTTTAAAAAAATAATTGGATTGGAAGTCCATATACTCTATACTAGCCTAAATACAAGTATAATTCCGAACAAGCGAATAGTATTGCGATGTAAGATTAGTTTTTAGATCTGTTATCCAAAGGATCTATCTGCATCTCAGTCTGGGCCTTTTTTATTACATTTTGTCCGGCAGTTCAAGTCTGGGTCAAGTCAAGTAAATCTTTGGCTTGCTGTTTACGACGAACCTCAAGACCCTTTATTGACCTGCTGTGCGTGTGTGGCGTTGACATAAGTGTGGCTTTGGGTCAGTGCTCTTGTGTGCATGTTTCTATCCAGCGACAACCCTCTATGTTTGTGTATGCGTGTGCGTGTGTCAGAAGGCCAGGGGAAGGGTGGGGGAGGTCGTAGCGTCGTAGATTAGCCAGGTTGGAATGATTGGGTAGAGGGGATTAGATGGATTCGGGAAGAGACACGTCTGTTTACCTTCCAAAGAAGTCTTATAATAGGCTGATTGGCGGGGCTTGATTACAGACATACACAATCCCCCCATATGTTGATTGCTTTGTTATTGTTGCCTCCACAGACACCTGCCATCTCCGCTGTGTATAAAAGCTGGACTCCCCGGGCTCCGGCAGACACATTTCCCATTAGGACTGACCCAGAGAGAGCTTGCAATCAGAGAAGATGTGTAACCTAAGACGTGGCATAAACAGGTAAGGGGAGATGAACTGGCCTGAAGGCGCAGGGAGCGATCCGGTTACCTCCCGTGGTAAAGTGTGTGCATTGTAGGGCTCGTATTGTTACCTGTGCCGCAGAAAGAGGCAGGAGTGGAGAAAGGCAGGATTATACACATGGCGGGTTAGAAAAAGACGACAAGAAAAGACAGGAGGAGATGGGAGGAAAAAGCGACAGGGAGAGGCTTAAGATTACACACCTTTAGAGTTCGCCTTGGTGGTTCATGTTGACTTGAGCAATTTGCGGGGTAGGGGCAGATGCAGATGCTCGCTGATCAAATTGTCATCTGACGGGGCACCAGGTTTGATTCTGGAAAAAGAAGAATAAGATATCGTGTGGGAATGATTTTTACCATTCAATAATAAGCAACAAATGGAGGGAAGCCGGACAGGAGAGTGAGCGAACGAGTGAGCGAGCTGGGACAGAATAAAAGGTAAGGCTGGAGAAGTGAAGATAAGCAGTCAACACACAAAATTAGTCTACAGGGAAAAGAAAGCCCCAAAAGTCTGGACTGAGGAGAGATCAAGGCCGACTAGGGTCTTTGCTGCCTCCAACCTGATTAAGGAGAGGAGAGGTGGTGGGGAAGGGGAGCGAGGAGCCCAAGCAGTAGTAGTAAGAGAGAGAAGAGAATTACAAGAGGACGCCTGGTGAAAGAAGCCTCTTAAATCTGGGAGCTTGGAATTAGAGCCACAGAAAACTGCAAAGAGGAAGCCCACAAAACCACAGTAAGTAAATTAGGAGGCTGTGTGGCTGGAAAAACGTGTAATGAAGCCATAGGTGGGGGAGGGGATTTGCGGTCAATCAAAGTGCTTTATATATTGTACCTTATTGGATTGATTTCCTGTCTGTAAGATCTGTGCATGTCCACATCCTCCATGACCTCACATGCTTACCTTGGCTTTTTGAAATATGATTTACATGTGATTCTCAGAGCTCTGTCAAAACTCTTTTTCACTTAATTTACAGAAGGAGTCTGTTTCTTTCGTTGTTGTAGGTAAAGATGCCTGCAAATGGAAACCTTCCTCTGAAGTTGCAGTTTGGTCTGATAAACCACGAGGGTCGCTATCTTACCGCTGAGAGCTTTGGCTTCAAGGTTTGCAATAAACAAAATTCATCTAACTGGCTAACAGTAATTGTTTGTGATACTTTTATTATTATTCAAAGGTAATAAATGGAAACACATAAGCAAGATAAACATACACAACAATAAGACCCATCCCACTAAGGCTGGAAGAGTGGAAGTCCTAACTAAGTTCACTCTCTTTTTGTCTAAGCAAGTTTGTCTTTCCAAGTCAAAGTTAAGTCACAATGACACATTTTTGATAAAATATTGCAATTTAATGATTTCAGTTGTTATTTAAAAATGTCCATATTCACTTAATTTCAATCCCTGAGTGTCAAATAGAAATGTCCTACATTAGGAGACAATTGTCAAAGTGTGTAGAGTATTTGGCCGTTATCCAAATGTCACCCAAGCAGAACATACTGTTGTTTTGTTCCAAGGCCACTTCATGATCATCTATGACAAAATATGTGGTTGGATGTGACAGGGACACTACCCGGGGTACAAATCTGTCAAATCGCTGCACAAAGACTGAATGAAATAGAGATATTGCCGCTCCTTAAATCTTTCTTATTACTATCCTTAAAGACTATTAACATCTAGAATCACTATTAATTGTAGAAGTGATTTATTCCTGCTCCTGCGACCAGCACAACATTTTTTCTGTGTTTTTGCAGGTAAATGCGTCAGCGCCCAGTCTGAAGAAGAAGCAGGTGTGGACTCTGGAGCACGACTCCCAGGACTCTCAGGTGGTGTACTTGCGTAGTCACCTGGGTCGCTACCTGGCGTCGGATAAGGATGGCAAAGTAAGCTGTGAGGCTGATGGACACAGCTCAGACTGCCGCTTCCTCATCGTGGCACAGTCGGATGGCCGTTGGGCGCTACAATCCGAACCACACCTGCGCTTCTTTGGGGGCTCTCGCGACTACCTGTCCGGCTTCGCACAGTTCATCAGTGACACAGAGCTATGGGCTGTGCATTTAGCCTTGCACCCACAGGCTAATTTGCTGTCCGTAGCCCGCAAACGCTATGCTCACCTCTCCACAGAAGACGGGGAGATTGCGGTGGATATGAACATTCCTTGGGGGGTGGCAGCACTTTTGACCTTGGTCTACATGGATGGAAAGTATTGCCTTAAAACCTGCGACGGTCGATTTCTTAGCAATGACGGCAAGCTCTTGACGCAGAGTGGAAGAGGCACGGCGTACACATTAGAGTTTAAGTGTGGGAAGCTGGCTTTTAAAGACTGTGAAGGGAAGTACCTGTCTCCCATGGGGCCCACGGGTACGCTGAGGTCTGGACGCTGCTCCAAACCAGGCAAAGATGAACTGTTCGACTTAGAGGAGAGCCATCCACAAGTGGTTCTTACAGCAGCCAATGGTCGATTTGTCTCTATAAGACAAGGTAAGAAAAGAGAAGACATCAGTGACATTGAAAATTACTTAAGAAATAACTTGAGTGTTTGGTTAGACGGGTAGAGTGGTCACACCAGGCCTTAGATAATTCAAGTGACCTACACACATACATAATGAAGTAGAGGGGTTACTGCAGTTACTATGGCACCAACTATCAGGAGGTCTTATGCATACAAAACTATAGCGTGCACCACAAAAGAAAACTGAGCTAACCATTTACAGGAAGCACAATACCAGAGTGGACATGCTCAAAGAAATTGCCTGCTCTCAGCTGATTACAGTCTGATAACAGAGGCATTGTAATTATGGGTAATGTAGTGCATCCATCTGACATCACGGACTGAGGGGGAGGGTCTTTCATCAAACTCAGCAGAGATAAGAATCAAACGACTTTTCATATCTCAACTGGAAGATGGGAAGTTCTTATATTGCAGACCTTGAAAACTTGGATATAACTATTATAGATTATATTACACATTACCCACACTTAACACAACATTAAGTTAAGACATGACATAAACAGGGCTTCATGTGAGTAACTTCTGTATGTCCGCAATTCCAGAAACTTCAGAAAGCTGCCCAGACTTTCATCACATAATCAATCATAATGTGGTGTCTTAAACAACTCAGTTTCCTCACATGTTGCTCTTAGTGGTTGGTGATAATTGTGTTAACATTCTGTGCCAGTGCCCCTGGGCTCATGGAAACAGCTGCTTGTATCATATATACCACAGAGCAATGCTGTGTTGATACTATATTATGTATTTACTCAACTGTCTTTTGATGGAGCTGTAGGGGAGCGTTGTTTGATCAGCATGCAGGCATGGTGGCACAGTCGCATGCTGATGGATTACACCTGCTACACAGCAGCTTCAAAGTTATTTCTTGCCAACAATAAAAGTACAGCTGGAGTGGACAGTATAAAACATGGTCATCTCCACGTGTCAGTTGGTGAAACAGAAGGGCAGCAGAAGTTTCAGTTGGTCAGTATAGTTGAGTGGTCTGATTCAAGACTGGATTTGGGGCAGATTCGCCCACAACAAAGTGCTTGTCAGCATACTTGGCCATGACACCCATCTGTAGGCTGCAGATTCTTGTTGGGGGGATCGAGTTACCACAGCACTGGGTCCTGTAACAGAATCTGTCCTTGCTCATTGTTCCTGGTTAGCCCTGGGAACTGCCGGTGCAAACCAAATGATGGGAAACTCGGGGAGATGATTAATTGAATGGATGGAGAGATAAGGCGGAGTTAAACACATAATCTTCCTGATGTACTATAATGTACACATTTAGAGCTCTGACCACACGCAGAGAGCACACCCGGCCTCTTTCTTACTCCAGCTTTCTCCCTTTCTCTTTCTCCACTTGTTTGGCGCAAACAAAAGCTTTATCTTTCTTCCACACACTCGCCCACACACAACCATACTGTCCTGCTGCGGTGAGTGGTGAGGTGAGGTGTGATGAATTATTAATGCAGTTGGCCCCTGTTCCTGGAAGGCTAGGGGGAGTCTGCTTTCAGAAACCCTAGCTCCCTCTCACCTGGGGCCAAAGCTCCTGCCCTGCCGAGTCCCCTAATCTAACCCACTGACTCCAGTCCTATCAGAATGGTGCTGCAAATCAAGAGAACGCACTGAGGGAAATGCAAAAGGTTGAGATAACAGAAAAGTAAAAAATGAGTTTGCATTTGACATACTTTTTGAACTAACAGGCTAGCTTGCTTTGATAAAGGAGGTTGTGGAAGTAGAGGAAAGGGAGGATAGAATGTAGGATGCATCTCACTGGGCTATAAGACAGATATATGTGACAACATCGGAAACAGGTGGACATTTTTTCACCCCAAAACTTCTCTGTCCTAATAAATTAGCCTAGTTAGCTACTTTGTTGGCTAAAATGAAAGAATATATAGTGGAAGGGACAGAAACCAGGTAAAAGGTTACAGGAGTGAGTGTGTTTAGTTACAATGACACTCACTGCCCCGTGTTCCTTGTCTTTTAGGCGCTTTTGTTAGCGTTAGCAGCTCTTCCAGATCTGTCATCACAGTTCTCGTCAACTCCCTGAGTTTCCTTAAACCCAAGTGCTGCACTCTACCCTGAAACGGCAAAAGACCTGATAGTCCCAGACACAAATTTTCCATTAAAGCACACGGGATGTCACACATGCACACACATACAAACGTAGTGTACAAATAGGATGAACGCATGGGCAGACGCAAGCAGCCTCGAAAACAGATGAGCGTAAAATGAATAAAAGATTAATGAAAAAAACACCAGCTGTAGTTGTGCAGGGGTGATGGAATTGGGGAAAAGAAAGAAAAAGAAGAAAATGAGGGACAGGGGGATAGTGGCATCAGCTATCCATTAATAATGGATGTCAGAGCCATGCATGGTTGATGGATTAGTTAGGCCTGCTCCACTTGCAAGCTGCAGGTAGGACAGCAGCAGAAAGTGGAGCTGGTCAGTGGGTCTGCTGCTTTAACTTAACTGTGATGAACATCTGACAACATCTGATAATACGAGCCTCACCAACCTGTGTTTCAAAGATGGTCATCAACATGTCCATTGATATCCTTCAGATTGTGAGCTTGGGTTTCAGCGTATCCAATCTCTTTCTCTCTGTCGTGTGGTGCTTTCTCTTCCTGCGTCCTCCTCTCATCTGTCAGAGCAGGCCACGGCGGGGTCCCAGCTGAGCCCTGTCTGAACATCATTTCTGGGTTGAATTAGTGTGAAATGGACACGTGGAATAGGTAGACAAAGCATGACATTGAATCGGGATGAGAGAGAATGAGAGTGATAAGCCCCCAGGCATAAGAGCAGGACGAGGGAGGCCCAAACGTGCGCTTCAAATGCACAGGAGATCAATGATACTTTAACTAGTCACACAACCTTATGATACCAGTTTATCAGCTGTGAGAGAGAGGTGATTAAAGCAGCTCGCAAGCTTAGTTACCATGACATCTCTGTCACACTTTTGTTTCTTTGACAATTTAACCCAAATGCAGCAGAGGTAACTCAAAGAGAGCGACTATGAGGAGATTACTTCATTTTGCCATGATAACCTTGTTGAAATTATTTTTCAGTTTGCTGCAGGTGGTACATTGCAACTATACAGACCATCTTAAAGACTAGTCCTGTGTGCTTCTGAAGAAAACACAGTACAGCTGAGCAGGGCTGTTCTACTGATATCATTTTAATTGTGATTAGAGTTATGGTTCTAAATAATTAGTGAAAAACTTCAATGAATGCCCATTCTGCCCCTCAACTTAAGGCAAAAGCTCTCCAATTTACAAATCCTTTTTTAAAAACATGAATCTGAAAACCTTACAAATAAATTATCATAAGTAACAAATCTTAACTATTTAATTTATAACCTAAATAAATGTAACTGAAGATTTCTTTTCTATAATCAAGCAGCCCTGTTTATTAGCAGTGCCAACAAGGTCTATTCACACTCACCCAAACATTTAAAAATAACAAATTAATATTATCTTAAATATATAACATTAAAATTAAATACAGCATTAGCAATGTAATTTTTCAAGTCAGAAATTCAACTCAAGTTTACAGTGCAAGATTGTACCCCTCCCCACAGGTTCAACCTCCCATGGCATGACTGTATTGTTAAACTGTTTCTATAGTAGCTCCAAATCTCCTCTCATTTATTCACAGAAGTCCCCTGACAGCCCTGGCCTATAGACCGTTACCATGGCCTGTTCACCCTATCTGTCCTCATTCATGACCACATAGGCTTAAGGTCTGAGAGGGGCGGGTAATTATCTGTACGTCCCGCTAAGTGTGACTACAAAATCCTCGGGTTCTTTCCTGTTTCTTTTTTCTCAGTCTTTCATTGAGAGGGATTGAGGAATTGGACTGGTAGCACTCACAAGCTGATTATATGTGAGGCCTGCTGTGTGGAGGGCAGATTGGAAGGGCCAGAGGTGGAGCCACTGGGAGCCTGGGGGGTGGGGGTCAGCAGAGAGAAGGAATGTAAAGAAGAACTCGCCAAAAAGAAGAAAAGTGCGTTGTGGATTCCTATGCTGGCGGATTACTGTGGGCTGCATCCAATTTAGGTCTCTGGCATCTTCCTTCCTGTTCTTTAGTTATAATTACAGATTTTTGTAAACCTCAAGAAAAAAAAAAAATATATATATATATATTTACCAGAATTGTATATTTAATCAGTGAAAATGTAATCGCAGTGAAAATATAATCGCCCTAGACGAGTTGCCAGTACAAAGCCAAGTGCAGATCAAGAGCACAGTATGAGACAAAAGCACTTAAAAAAGACCAAACATCCGTGGATCAGACGTGATTATCAAGTTGTGCATGCTGGGCTAGGCTAAATGCAACTATATGCAAGCTCATTAGTGAGCTATTGTCTGTTTGGAGCACAGGATTGGAGGAGTTTGCCAAAATATAACAAGATGGCTTCATTTTAAAAAGACCAAATAATAAAGCTGGATCCCTCAAGATTCGATAAGAGTCTCACGATACGACAATATCAACGATATATTGCACATGATAATCTATGGGAACTGTTTTGAATTGGAGAAAAAAAAATATTTCTTTGTTAATCCACTAAATACATATTCTGTTGAAATACACACATTTTTTAAACAATGAATATGCTAACCACATTCCATAAACATATTTACTTTCTTTAAATAAGCAACTCAATTGTAGCCTCAACTTAGTTTAGAAATACTGTATCAACAACAACTACAAAATACCACTACCGCAACAAACATGTTAATTATTGAGTCCAGTAGTGTTTATTGCTGTATAATTGATGACAGGATACTTTGCCTTTTCTAGGAGTGAGTCTTGCAGCAAACCAGGAAGATGAGACAGACATGGAGACGTTTCAGATGGAGATCGAAAAGGAGACTAAAAAGTGTACGTTTCGCTCCAGCCAAGGAAACTACTGGGCTCTGGTGGCCCACGGAGGGATCCAGAGCACTGCCACTATTGTGTGAGTAAAATAGACCCTTTGTTGTATCAAGCATAAGAAAGATTATTGAAAGACCCATTGTCTAGTTATTATATCTCCCATTATATTAAATATAGTATGCAATTCTTTTTTCTAATGCATTTTTAGAAACTTCTTTCTTTTACTAGATGCTGATGTGAATGTGATGTGAATTTAAATAAATGTATTTTTAATTTGGTTACTTCTGTTCTTTGATAGCAGTAATAAGCCAAAAAGTACATCCCTATTTCGCTTTACTGTGCTTATCTTCTATTATTTACTATAAATAAATAATCCAGCTCTGATTCTATAACAGATCAACAGATACAATGTTTTCAGTGGAGTGGCTTGGCCAGAAGGTGGCACTAAAAGCGAGCAATGGAAAATATGTCTGCACTAAAAAGAATGGACAGCTACTTGCCGTTAGTGATTCTGTGGGTAGGTTTTGGATTTCCAGTGTCACAAGTCTTCAGTTTTAACATTTTGGTTGTTTTTGGTCAGGTGAGGATGAACTTCTGTCCATAAAAATGATCAACCGGCCCATGTTGATCTTAAGAGGACAAAATGGTTTCATCTGTCATCATAAGAAGTCCAACACACTGGATGCAAGCAGATCTATATATGACATTTTTACACTACAACACAGCAACGGGGCATATCAGATTAAAGGTAAGTGGAAATAGTAATAGTTAAAGTACAATGTTAAATAAGACACATTATGGTGCTGTTCTTTTTTCAGGTACCATTTAGTATTAAACTTAAAGGCACAGTAAGTAGCTTTCAGGAGGTGGTATGTCACCTGCTATATTCCAGGGAAATAGAAAGTTAAAACCATACTTTGGAATCTTTACATTGACATAGATGTCTTTTATTCCATACTGTGCCAACATAAATATAGAACATTTCCATGAAAACAAACAAGGCTCTTCTGTAGGCCGAATCAGGGTCAAGCCTGCTCAGATTAAGAAAGCATCTTTTTCACTTTGCTTTAGTTTTGTTTGGCATACATGCATTGCATACATACATGCTTTAAATATAAGCAGATCATTAATACATACATTTTGCTCATTATAAACTGCAATATTTATTTACCTTCAGGCATTCACTCTTGATTTTCACCATAGCAATCATTTTTGTTACTTTTTTTAACTGTTTAAAAATTACATTTTTGAACCCTACCTGTATAACTTGAGTCTACATTTTTTGAAGTATAAGTAAGTACAATGAAGTAGATGGAGATAGGGACTAGGTGAAAACAGCTATTTTTTGAACACTTCAAATGCAGGACAATACAGGATTATTCAAACAACCAGGAATCAATGGAAATAACCACTAAGTAAAATGTGGGACCACAGTAACATTGAAAGTTGAAAGTCAATTTTACATAATATGCTCCCTTTAATATGTGCTGCTTATTACTCACATATTGTCCCATGCAGGTGTGACTGGTCGGTACTGGTACGTGAACAGCTCTCTGGTGGTGTGCTCCGATGGGGAGGTCCCTGAGGATTTCTCCATTGAGCTTGTGGAACGTGGGCGTCTGGCAATCCGGGGCAAAAACGGAAAGTACCTGCGCGGAGACCCAGGAGGACTGCTGAAGGGAGACGGACTAAGTCTCAACAACTCTGTCCTGTGGGAGTACTAGTCAAAAACAATGGTTAACAGACACACGAGAAATGTTCTTTGGATCCTACTATGGGAAAGTGCAAGCACAAGAATTCATCAAGTAGCCAAGACAATGAACCTAAAATCTCAGTATTTTATAAAGAAAAATGAGTGAAATTCTTGTGTTTAATAAATCTCTCACCTTTTTGCATGACACAAAGAATAAAGACCATGTTACCTTGTCTAATATTTCAAAGCATCATTGTGACCTACAACTATCTTGTTTCCTCTCACCTGGATCATGTCGTACAACAGGTGTAATGACACTTGTCAGTGCTCCAGTCAAACCTACAGTGAATTAGGGTGTCATTTGAGACGCACAGTTACCGGGACAAGTGAGGTCAGCGTTTAAAAGCATTCATCAATGCGGTGTGGCTGTCTGAGTGCCCTTATAACTGCATACACGCTTGGGTTACATGTTGAAACAATAGAAACTTGTTCCTCTATAGCACTTAAATCACCATCATGCAAAGGATGGTCTCACTTCAACTACAGAGATTTACATGGTTTTGTTGCTTTGTGACCATAGATTTGAAATTAGATGAATATTATGCAGTACTCGACCTGGAGTCAAAACGTGTCATCAGAAAACTAGGATAGATATCCCGATGAATAGATCATAATAACAATAATACATAACACTTGTTATGTGCTTTTCAATTTTCCATGTCAAAACTCACATTTAGATGGAGCAAGTCCTTAGCTGCCCCTTTACTTTCAATGGTTTTCAAAGCAAATTATAATAAATTATATTATTATTGATAAATTATCAACAAATTTATTGCAAGAACATACTCAATAAGTAATGAAATGTAAATTATTTAGCTATAATGGCAAATGAGAGTGCCTTATTATAAATTCATTTTTGTCTACACAAAGAAAGGCTATCTAAAGCTTGCCTAGGTCTGAGGTCCCTTTGCGGTTCTAAAAATACACACAGGCTGTGTGTCGATACTCACCTGAAACTAGATGTTACTGGACCATAAAGCCTATATTAACAAAGATAACTATTTCCTTTAATGTAGTGTAACATCAGATAATTTATTCTTTTACAATGCAACATACATTTATATTTGGTGAAATGTCCGATATTTAAGGATAAACCAAAACATAACATTGACCAATACTTAAGGGTCATAGAGTCCTTTGGGGGTTTAAAATATGACCAGAGGATGTTGGCGTAGCTCCTGGTACACCTTTAGAAGTGACCGGGTCACATGGCCTGAAGACACACCCACACCAACCACTCCGGAGATGCGACTGTCCTGGACCTGCTGCAACAAGTGCTGAAATGGAATATTACACAACACTGAAATAAGAATGGATGAATTGACATGCAAATGAAATAAGCAGATGTTTACAAAGGATTCATATATCCATACTGTCATATTTTGCAGTGATGTTTAAAAGAATAATAATAAAAAGCTTTAAAACAATGCTTTATTAAAATGAACTTTTAAAATAATTTTAACTCCACAAGTTACTTCATGTTTGCTGCACAAATGAGTCACTATTGTGTCATCTCCACACCCAACAATATGAAACAAGTTTATTTTTTTATCTATAATTATATCTATATAACGGTCAATTGGAGTGTTTTGGCTCTATAAATAAAAGTACTACCTCTGCTCGCAAAAGTTCTGGTCTTAAGCCAAAGGTCTCTGCTCTCAAAGCGGAAAGCGTCTTGGGTGCCCTCTTCACCAGAGTCTGTAAAGCACAATAATATTATAAAAGTTCAACATAATGTTTTAAGCATTATGTTTACAACTGTCCTGGTTTGAGCCCAGATTAGTTTGATGCACAATAGGAAAAATCCTCCAGGTAATCTTAACTAAGCCTAGCTGAAGATCTGGAGATGGGACTGCTCCTGACAGGTTGCCTCTGCAGCACTGAAGGATGGGTCAAATGTAGACTAAAGTCCCTGTAGGGAAATAACCTGATGTAGACTTGGTTTGGTCCTGTCCTAGCATGGATGTATTCCTGGTCCAGTCCAGCTTTAGTTCTGAATAAAGTTCAGTTTTAGTCCCACTTTCGATGTGGTGTATGTGCACAAGTTGGAACATAAAACAAAGTTCACATATTAAAGACAATCTACCTTGTCATTGCTTGATCTGATCTGATCTTGGAAGTCAAAAGGGGTTGAGTGTGGTTCTTGTTCTTGTTGAGCAAACAAATGTGTAATATGCACTTTGATTTTTATAGGGAAGAGTTTAAAATGCTTGCATTTTTAGTTTTATTTTAAAGTTTTATGTTTCATGTAAGTAGCATAACTTTTATTGAAAGGATAAGTACATAAAACTCTCTTAATACCTGCATCCTATTTACGATGGCATGGTGTAATCCACACACAGCAGCCAAAGACAGACTCTCCACCTGCGCCTCCACAACTGCCAGGATCTCATTTCCAATGCCAAAATTTACCTACAATAAAGACAATATTATAATTAATTTAAATACGTAGAGGTTATGATGAAATAAAAACTTTTTATTTACCTCTTTTGCAACCAGTTTAACCAGTTGGCCATTTAGGCATTGTAAATGTAGCACTGCAGTGTTTGTTGTTCTTTCCCACTGGTGTCCTGTCACGCCTCTGTGTGGCTCAGAAAAGAGCCAGCTCAGAAAAGTAACACAGAGATTTGGTGATGTCTCCATATTTGCATTTTTTGACGCAAGAGTATGTTTAAGCAAATCTAATGATATCTTTATACAAGCTGAATAAGGTTTGCTGTTCACTTTTTCAACCTTATTTTTACCTTTTGATGTTAAAAATCGTTCTACACCATCCACTGAGGAGTTGACTCTGGTGTGAATAGCTACATTTTTCTCACTGAAAGATGTTGTTAGCTGGAGTGCATGTAACCAGTCCACTGCCAATGTGTTTAATGGCACGCTAATGGTACTATTTTGCCCTTTTAATAGACTTGCTAACTGCCTCTCATCAAACACAGCCTTAAGTGAAAAAACTAGCACACAGCTAATTGTTATGGGGAAAAGCTTATCATCTGCTGCAGTTAAAGGCAATGTCACTTCAAATGTCTGTCCCGGATAGAGACTGCAGAATGGGAAAGAATAATTAGTGGATGTCTTTTGCTCTTGTGAGGAATCTGACAGAGGATAGACGGTAAGATTCAGAGTCCAGCCTTGTTCCAGCGAATAAGAACTATTGTTTTCCAGGATACATGTAAGGTGTAAGGAGTCCTTCAGAAGCAGCCTGGTCCAATGGACTGTCGCAAGGCATCTGAGTGGCTGTTCAACACCTTCAGTGTTATTAAACAAAAGGAAGCTGACATTCGCAACTTGGTTTAGGTGTCGTAGAATCTCGTTTTTGGATTTGATGGAGGACTTTAGGTTGGACGCTCTGTTGAAGAAAAACAATATGATTATTTTTCCAGAGTTTAAACATTATGCCAGAATTTGTGCCATGTCGTTATGCCAAAAATTTAAGAGGTATTAATAACCATAAAACCAAGAATTAAATCTAGATTTTAAAAGTTTATTGCAAATTCTGACCTTCAGTTCTGTTAGGATCCAAGCATACCTTTGACAAACATCGCCTATTGCGGACAGGAGGTCCTTCACACTGCGGCCCACCCGGGTTCGTTGTTGTACTGATGATTCTCCACCTCCTCCATTTTCAGGAAGAATAATGTTCTGAAGCTGCCCTTTGTCAGACAATCCGAGAAGCTCGACACCCCCTAAGAAAAACAAAATATGTATATACATGTTAAATAATCGCACAAGACAATGTGCATTAAAATCAGAATGCCATAACACCAAACTTGACTGGATGGAAAGAAACAAGAGACAGAATCCCTCCACTCAATTCTTATGCCTGAAGCAAAATATTAATAAAATAAACTCTCTTATAATAGATATTAATAAACTATTTTGGTTCCTATGTTATTAACTAGTTATAACCACAGCATTTAAAAGTCAATAGCCTTTTCCAAAAATGTTACAAAATATACAGAAAGATTTTGTCAATTAAACCTTTCCAACTTTTTCTCCATGTTGTACAATTATAATTCAGTTAACCTTACACTATTCAAACACTACTTCATTTTGAGTGCATTACCTGAATTTTTGGATGTAGGTTTAGTCAAAGCGATGACTCTACACACATTCAAACTGGTGGGACTCAGAAGACTATTGTTGTGCTTCCTTGCTCTTTCCTCAATCAATCCACTTTTCCCACTTGATTCTTCTGCCAGGTTGATTGACAGCACATCAGAACCAGTGCTTAGATACAGACAGCTCTTATCCACACAGGCTGACATCACTTTCCCTGGCACACAACCTTCGGTGAAACTAACTTGTCTGGGGTCCTCCTCTGTGGCTCCTTCACACGTCTTTATGACCACCACTCTGCCATGTTCACCTACAGCCACTAAGCAGCAAGCATCGGGGCCTGGTTCCGTTTCCATGGCAACAGATGCTCCGATAAATACCACTGGCTCTTCTAGGCTGTGAACAGTTCGGATTCCTGGGAGATGCAGAGACAGGGAGCACAAACGTCCATCTGGGAGGCCACATAAAATAATTGGAGATTTGATGAGGGCGGAGTCGATGCCGAATAAAAGTTTGAAAAGTGTAGGCTCCAAGTGGCTATCTGATAAGGATGACGAATCGCTCAAGTGTACACACTCCATCACAGGTCTTCTCTCATCTGTTCCATCTGAAACTGCCGGTATACTAAATGAACAAAGCCTTTCAAAGATGTCAGGTTTCTTCCGTGGTTTGTTCGCAGTCAAAAGCCAGGATGAGCCTCTTCGGGATAAGGTCACTAGTGTTGTCCCAACTGTAAGAAGACACAACACTCTCTCTTCTCTTATAACAAGGTGATCTGAAGTTATTTTGAACTCTGTTGGGCTTGAAGATTCAGTGGCGGCCAATCTATACAGATGATAGAGAATATTAAAAGATTGCAGGATTTCTAAACAAGTTGGCATATATTTTATACATACCTGAATATCTCATGAGGTAATGTGATGCTATATACTGCACTCCTGCAAGCTGCAAAGAGATGCTGGTTGTCTTCACTCTGGATCAAGTCACTAACTGAAGTGGGAAACTGCAAGATGCCCTACAAAATAAACACCATTAATAACTGTTACCTTACAGTTTTACAGGTATAACAGAAACGATTGTTATGTTGTTATTCGCAAGTTACCATAAGTTTCTTGTCTTTTAGGTTAAATATATAGACCTCCTCACTTCCACTGTAGATAAATGCATGTCCTCCAAAGTCTAATGTGATCCCTGATGTGTTCGGTGTTGCCCAAACGCCTAACTCCGCCAGAGACTCTACAAAACATCGTCCCGACATGACAGGCACGAAACTACACACGAGACATGAGACAGACAGTTCTTACGCGTGAAAAGAACGTCTTAAAACAGACTGTTTAGTTGGTGCTGATTGTTGACACTATAGCATGGCCAGCATGGCAGGAAAACTTCCGCGCCTCTTCTGAACCAATAATCGTAAGGACTACATTTCCCATGATTCAAGGCTTTACGCAATGCTTTGTGCTTTTATGGCTTTACCACCGTCTATGTTCTTTACGCGCGCAAGAAAAAAGTGATCACGAGACATGACTCCTCTTATGTATTGGGTATAAAGAGAGTATACTAATAAAAATGCAAAACTAAAAGTACAAGAAAAGGACAACGAATAATTCTGGTAATTTGGGCTTGGTGTCGCTTGAGGGCGCTCATACAAATGAAATGACGTCATTGTACACGAACAAGAAATTTCGTCCAATCAGAACAATAAAAGGAAGTAGCCACAGAAATTTGAAAAGGCCCTTTAGCGGAGCAAAAAAAGCTAAACGTCAACACGACAAAAATACAACAAGAACACAATGGATGTTCACAGTGACAAGGACCTTAAGATGTACTTTTATGAAAACCGGTTGAAAACATTTGAAGGATGGCCCTTCGACGAGGATTGTGCGTGCACTCCAGAGAATGTAAGAAATATTTAACTTGTGTAACGATTTGCCAGCGGCATTACCGTAACCCATCCGCATGTGAAAGTTTTCGAAGCCTCAACTGCACAAATACCTATTATTATATTACATTATTGATTTAACCTAAAGTCTAACGCCATGGCTGTTAAAACTGTAGGATATATTTAACTTGCATCTGGTTTATAACATTCAAACGCAACAACGTGTTGTCACTCTTCATACATCATCATCTAAAATGATTACATAAAGTTTTGTTTGTTTATTTTTTTCAGATGGCAAAAGCAGGCTTCATCCACACTCCTTCAGAAAACAGCCCAGATATTGCTATGTGCTTCTTCTGCCTCAAAGAACTGGAGGGATGGGAGCCTGAGGATGATCCAGAGTAACGAAAAAATACTCTTTTTAAATTTTGGGGAATTTGAGTTTTGTTGCAACACAACCTAATCTATGACCATTGGGCAGATGGTGAATAGCAAAACAGTGCAGCAATTAAGGATGCAAACTGCTTGACTTGGCGTTCACACAAAATTACACTGATCCTTTTGTTTGTAATAGACCTTCATTTATCAAAGGGCTGTTTTGTGGCTCATTTCATAATTTAACATTTTATAATATAATGTATTGCACTTGTAAAGCATTTTACAGGCTTGTCAAAGCCTCTCAAACGCTATACACTGTAGTACTAGTCATTATGCATTTACTCCACACTTGATGGTGTTAAGTTATGTAGCCACAGCTGCCCTAGGGTAGACTGACTGAAGCAAGGTTGCCAGTCAGCGCTATCATCACCACCGACCACCACTAATCTCAGGCACACACCACATTCATACTAGGCAAGGTGGGTTTATACTGTTGTGGCTAATGTCATGTTACTGTGCAATATGCATCCAAAAACCCCACCTTTATTCAGCATTGGCTAAATTAACTAACGCTTGCTGTTGTAAATGACTGCATTAAAAATGTAATTCCTGTGACATGTGATGTTTAATGTAAAGCATTTCCATTTGATTTTCTGTCTTGCAGAAAAGAGCATAAATCTCATTCACCTTCCTGCCACTTCATCTCCTTGAAGAAGAAAATTGAAGATCTTACAGTAGAGGAATTTTTCAAACTTCAGAAGGAGAGTCGGAAGTTTATCATTGTATGTAATCTAATGAACTGTAATACACTAAACCAAGTTCCATGTTACAGCTGATGTCTCTCTATCACAGACAAAAACATGCAATGAGGCCATTAACAAGTTTGAGGAGGCTTCCAAAAAGAGGAGAGCCGATATCGTCAAGACAGCTATGGGAGAAGAATGACCTGCATGACATCTGTAGTGTCTGTGTATGTGCTTGTTTTAATGTGCAAATGTACTTTTATCTGTGTCTTTAAATATGTCTGACTTTTTCTGTCCTTTTTACATTAAACGTCTTACAACTAACTATTTGTTTTATTTTGAACCAAGACCTTGATGACATGACATGAAAACCAGTTTTTGTCACATGATGCAAAAATGAGTTACAAAGACTTGGTTATATGCACACTAATATAAGGGCAAGTGAAGGACCCACTGTCAAACCCGCTTATCTGCATAGAGAGATGGCTTTGTCTGGAGTCTACCACAAAATGGCATAAAACTAACGTTCTTTATTGAGACAATGTACATGATGCCAACAGGTCAGGGTTTTCAAAATATCTTTTAGCAAATAAAAAAAAAAAGTAGATTTAAAATGAAGGTCCACACCGTGGAATATCCCAGGCAAAACATGGACATTCCATGAGACCCACTCCCAAAGAAGTTTAAAGTGTCTGGGAGTCATTAATTAAGAACCATTGTGCTGGGACCCTGATTTTAAACTTTACTTTGTCTATGAAGAAGTGATATTTAGTCAATATGTACCGCATGTCCCAAGGCTATACATTTATTGTTGTGCGTAAAAGTACGCGCCTTCCGAATTGCAAGTCCCTCCCCAAAATCAGAGCCGTTCAGGCAGACTGCTCTCATTCTCGTGGCATCTGCATTTATTCGCTAAAGGAGAGGCTGTCCTTTATACGTGAACCCTTTCCAGAAATCTCAACATACGCATTACCTGGACCTTTATTTTTCTTTTTACGCATTTGGAGCGGCAGGCACACGGATTGCCAGTTACGCACCAAGGAAACAGACCGTTACGCGTGAAGTGCTCATCAATTATGAAAGTACCCTTTGGTTATTTGGTGATTGCTGCCGGTGTCTGCGGGGTTCTGAGCTTTGCGTTTTTAGCTACGGCTCTCGGAACCGACTATTGGTACATTATTGAGATGAATCAAGTCAACACGAGCGACTTGGAGGATATGAGCTCCCATTCTGGGCTTTGGAGCATTAACGAAGGTACCACTTCACTTCTGTCTTTTAAAAAATGTAAGTAATGACTATTTTCTTCTTGGTGCACGTCAGGTGGTAAGACGCACACAGACTCCATCGACTCTTTCAAGACAGACTACTCCAAGTTTTCTGAGGTGGAACAACAGATGCTTAGTGAGTTTCATCCTGTTGTTCATTTGTGTTGCAGTTGTTTTCTCCCCTCTTTATGACACTAATTAAGTTGAATTATCAAGACAGACATAACTCCACAGCTGCCCCATAACCCATATGTTCATCGCACGCAGACATGCACAGCGCCATCGTGGTGCTCCTGCCTCTCAGCCTGGTTCTGTTGCTGCTCGGGGGTATCTGCGGATTGGTCAGCTCCCTGGCCCGTAGCCCCATCCTTCTCACTGGGACAGCATCCTACTTTTTCCTCTGCAGTAAGTCTGAATTCAGTTGCACATCCATTATCCAAACTTGTAATGTGTTCAGTGTGCACTGAGAGTTGGCGTAATTGGCAACTATAAGCTGGTTATTGCGCACAAAAATGATTATACAAATCCAATACTGATAAAACACACATGCAAATTATTGTATTACATGATAGAAAAAAACATATGCCCACCACTTTATTCTGTATACAATAAGCAAACTAAGCAACTAAGTGAAAATGTTTTGATGTATGGTGTTAATAAAAATCTAATGAACAAATAAACAGGACTAGGGGAAAGAAGTGACTCCCAGAATCCCCTTCCTCGCTCCAATCAGTATTAAATTAAGATAGGCCCATTACTAGGTGGCGCAAATGAGGATGAAAATGCCTGGGAACACTCAGACGCTAATTTCTTGCGCATATGGAACTGTGCAAGGCGTCTTCTTCACACACAGAGCCTTATTAGTGATATCAGCAGTGCAAGGAACATGGTGATTAATACAATTAGATAAATGCATTATGCAAAAATATAAACCATTAAAAATATGTCAAAGGCTACATGGGAATATGGTAGATGGGTATAGGCCTACTTCTCAAGGTTTTTCCATGATTGTAATAAATGCTTAATTCAATCAATTTTATACTTAATGACATATACAGTATATGGTATGTAGCATTGGCCTTGGTAGATTTAATGGGATAGAGGCATTGCTACTGACCTCACTCTTCAATCGACCTCCTGAGTCCTAACAGAATGCGTTTTATCACTAGGCAGGGCTGATAGGCTGTAAGATTGGGCCATATTGGTTAAGTATGCATGAAGGTGCTGTGTGTAGGTGTATTGGTTTTTATGTGTGTCTGTGCTTCACCAATCACCACACCAGAGCTTCATTCTGAACGCGCCGGATGAAATGAGAGTTGTTATTGGTCTGCTGGGAGGAACAAGCAAGAAGTCAAATTGCTTCCGCCACATTTAGTATCTTTCGCACTCTGCAAACAAACAGATATTGCACAAGCTACAGAAATACTACATTTTCGAAAAATCACTATATTTGTAATATTGAGCTCTGTGTAGGTGTGTATAAACCAGTTTTTTCATCCTCATTTGCGTCTCACACCATTTCACTTCACATAGGGTCACAAATTTGTTAACTTTTTTTGCTCAAAACCCTGATTTGGAGCAATATCAATTCAAAAGTCAGAAAATTAGATATGACAGTTAGTAAAAGAATGGTTGGATTTCAAAAACTTATGAGGCCTGAATAAACTCTTGATGATGGGAGAACAAATGCATCATTTCAACAGCTTCATATTAGTCTCTTGAATGGATAGAACATTTCCCAACCCTTGCGGACTAGGTTCATTGTTCCCAAATTTCACTTCAAGACTTCACTGTGATCTTGTCATAAAGATAACCAAATTAACAGTTCGACTGTAGAGAAAAGTTACACTTAACCTGTTTATCTAAATGAAGGAAATGGTACAACTCAGTTAGTGTCACGTCTGCTCTAAAATGTAGCTATATGCTTCACTTGTACAGAGACAAACCTACAATCATGAGTTTGCCCTAAATACATTTGACTACCGTTATACCTTCTCCAGCAGACCGTTAAAATAATAAGTGTCTGTAGTAATGAAATAATGTGCCTTATGACCTCCCTGTGATGAATAAACACCATTGAACTGGCTCTTTTTGGCCTTCCTCTAATTGGCAGCACATGGTACTATGTGCAGTAGGATAAAGGCAATGAATTAAATTGTTATCTTGTGAACTTGTTGACGATCCAGCTTCTTACTAACAGCCAACTACATGAGTTTTGTGTTCTTTTCCTCTAGTGTTCTTTGTTTGGTTATAATTATTGTCTTTCTTTTTACTCATTGCCACTGCAAATCATCTTTAAGAATTCTTACATTTTAGGTTGGCTAATTAATTCCATTAATCAGAGCTTGAGATCAGCACAAAGTGTACACTAGTTTGTTAGCTAATGATTTTGCAGTGTTTGCCAATGTTATATGAATAGTGATTCAATACCATTATTAAATTTGTGTTGCTAGAACCAGTACATCTGATAATATCAATTGGCTGCATGTACTTACAAAGATCCAGGCTTTCTGCACACGAGTAGTGGCACCCAGGGGTGGGATCATAACAAAATGATTATTAGTTCCGTCCCAGATGCTTCTGTGCACCACTTGAAACTCGGGGCAAGACGTCAAAATTAAAAGCGTTACCAATGGCAACCGTATGTAACTGCTGAGAGGAGCATGAGATTATTGTTTTTTATGAATTCTCTGATAGATGACAAGTTGTAACATGCGTCAGTGTGCTTCTAGTCTCTTCTAAAGTGAGATTTACTTGTAATGGCCTTTTAATAAGAAGATCTTTCCTGTGTATATTTCCACAGTATAACTGCTACAGCAACATATTTGAGCAACATCATTCTCATTTTTAAATGAACAGATTTTTTTGCAAACTCAAATAATGAATAGTTAGCTTTACGAGCTGATGAGATTCTGTCCTCTCTGTGTGCTGGAAAAAGATCATTTATTCATCATTTGCATTTATAAATAAACATTCATTTTCAGCAATTTAATTTTCATTAAAGGCTAAAGGGGTCAGAGAGGTTATGTGGCTACCATACATAGTGGCATACATAGTTAAATGTTGTCAGTCCTAGTTATCCTAGGATTATGACAGTCTGTCACAATCCTAGGGCAAGAAGAGAGCTAAAATGTTTGTCACTATTTGTTTCATTATTTTTCACTTTTTGTAGTTATTTATCACTTGAGATTATTTCTCTGTCTTGCATCTATGCAGGCCTGCTGACCCTGAGTGGAGTGACTTTGTACATAGTGTACTCACACCAGGCACTGGTAGAGACAGAGAGGCAGGTGGGGCAGGAGCGTCTATCGTACATTCACACGTCCTTCGGCTGGTCTCTGGCTCTGGCCTGGCTCTCCTACAGCCTGGAGCTGCTCACGGGGGTCCTGCTGCTGCTGGCTGCACGCACCCCTAGACTGAGGCACAGCAGCCCCTCTCTGGCCTGACATAAGGCAGAGAGCTGAGACGGGACAGGTAAAACACACGTGATCCAGAAACACAGGAACCACAGCAACTCAGCACAGCAAATGGGACATTGTATTGTACAAGAACACTATTGACAAGTAACGCCACCCTCTGGTGACTTACAACATGTGCATAGCTGACTCAGCCTAAACTACATTCTATGTACAACTACGTTCTGTGCATGTTCTTTGGAACATTTAAAATGTATCTTTTTTCAGTTACGTAATATTGGCCAACTAATTCCCTGTGGGCTCAACAGTATACAATGTAATGTCACATATAGATTTACTATAGGATATGTCGAAGTGATTTGTTTGTGAGGCTTTGGGCTTCCATTATCCCACATTATTCACCTGGTTTACTTTTATCTCTGTTAATCAACATCATGCAGTTTGAGCAGCAACGTCCTTACAGCATTTAGAAATACTGCTACACAAGTTACTGCAATGCTTCCCTCACCTTATAAGTAATGAGTCCCTTGTTGTGTATAGTGTATCCTATAGTGTGTCCTAAGAAACAAAGGATAACCAGGAATGTCGATGACTAAGTCAGATTTGAGAACAATTGGTTTTAGACCATAGATTTTAATGTGCTATTTAGCATCAGTATATCTACAAGTTTACAAACAACATTTTAAGAATATAAGGCTTATAAATCTCATTCATCCTCATGAATCATTGCTCATTATAGCTCCTCTTCTTTGTCTTTTGAGGTTCCATTACTGCCACTCTTCAGAACCCCTATGTACATACTTCAGAGCTCTGTCTGTATACATTTTGAATAATTTCATTGTGAGAGTTTTGTCACCACTGTTGACTTATTTATAAAAAATACAGAAAGGGGAGTCATTTAAAAAGTAATCTTTTGTTCCATGACACATCTTAAGTAAGTCACTTGTTATGCTCAGATACAAACCATTTGGACGGATGCCTCGTTCACATGAGCTTTTGCTTTGAGCAGTAAGTTTAACTGCTTCTCAGTTATGCAGCCATTTCAATATCAGCAGTACAAAAGAGTAATCCTGCATTTAGGCTGGTCCTTCTCTCAAAAAACAAAAACAACAAACAAAAAAGTGGTGTATGACATCATCCTGGTAGGCACACCTTTCCAGCAAACAGCAGTCCAACTATGGTGAAGAATATGGACAGGACGAAGAGGACGTATGAGGAGCCCACCCCAGTGTTGTTGGGAAGTTTGTACGGCTGACCCCCGACCTCACTGATGTAGAAGCCAATGGGGAAAATGAGTGCCGCCATACAGAAGAGCACCACTTTGACAAAAGACAGAAAAATGTGTTTAGTGTTATTTTCAAAACAGAACATCAGTAACTTTTGTTTTGCTATTTTATAAAATGACCTTGTTTAGTTGCACAAAGAGTTCTTTAGATTGCTATGATGCACTAATGTAAAAATGTGTCTTCTTACTTCCTGTGAAAGCGATCCAGCGGGCGTACCGCGTGGCCTCGGGGTGCCAGTGGGACATGACCAGGAGGGTGCAGGTTAGGGTAAGGGAGATGATGCCCATCATGATGAAGAAAAGTGTGGTGAGCCACTCTGGGGGCAGCTCAGGGGGGATGCAGATCCTGTCCCGCCCATGAATAGTCTGGCACTGCCGGGATAATCCAACGGTCAGTGAACCTGTACAGAAACGGATACTTGGGTCTAAAGGAGTAGATGGGCTGCTATCAACAGGCATAACAAAAACTAATTATTAAATTTTTTTCTAAATACCTGAGCACATAATATTTAATATTATCATATTATAAAGAAATTACCCTCAAGTCCAGTAACTTCAGGTAATTTGGAAAGGGATAAGTGGTTTAATACAACTACTAATTGATCTCTGGGGTCTTGACTTTTTTTTTTTTTTTTTTTTAATGGCTCAACCACCTACTCATTTGTAGCATAGCCTACCACTGAGTGCCCATGTGACTGCAGCTTGTTCCTGGCAGCCAGTCAGTACTAAGGAATTTGTTGGTATGGAAACAAAACTGACCTCAGGTGGTTTACAGTGATGTGTACCAAGTTCAAGGCCTCACAGACCCAAAACACAGAACAGCTAAGAGTGTGCTGCTGGCTCTGTGACATAATGGGGATGATGAGGCTGTATATGTTCCTTACATTTAGAAAACCAGCCATTGCACCACAACTCCACTCTAATCAGGTAATACTAATGAACTAAATTAAATCCCCCACGCATCCTTTTACTCCTTTGTCTGAATGCTTTTATAGAATTATCTTCTGTGGGCAGTCAGTCAAGGCTCACTATTTTAGGGATTTATAGAACATAATGGAAGAAATTAAAAACAGCCATAATCACAAAGAGACCTCAAAAAGTAGAGGCTGAGACTGACGTATTTTAATTAATGAAAACTGATTAAAAATAACTGCATATTACTAATGGGTCTTCGTTTGTACTTGTGTGGATGTTCTCAGACAGATTGTATGGTATGCATATAAAAATGGATGTACAATTCTTTCATTCAAAAATGTTAAATTAGCGTTCAGTATTTAAGGTGACTGTATACTTTATTGTCTCTGTAGGGGCTAACCTGTCAAAAGCAGAGGATGAGAGCAGTACAGCACCCTTACCTCCAGATCTAGAAGCACAGTCTCAGCCAGGAGTACCTAGCTGCGTACATGCATTAAATAGGTGGGAGTGTGGAAACCTACCCAGACGCAATTAGAGTATGCAAGAGCAACACAGAAAAGGTCCAGGAATCAAACTCTAGACCATCTCCTTGTACACTGTTATATCAAACGAACTGAACACCAATCTATGTCTGTGTGACAGCCCTTTGACTTGCAGGAGAGTTCGAACATTGTCCAGTGTGGCCTGAGGGTCTGTGCTGCAGACGGTTCTGCTCAAAACGTGTATGAAGAATGCAAAGGAGGGAGAGTCACAAACAGACACATGTAATGACAATGATATAAAGCAGTACTGGTAATAGCCACAGAGAGCAGGATGATATGGGTCTCGAACCACATCCTTACTGGACTGTTCTGCCCCCTCCTACGCAGGATATCCTGTTCCCTGCTCTCACAAGCTTTCATAAGGAGGGTGGGGACAATGTAAATAGTGCATCCATTTCCTTGCATATTTCAAATCACTATCTTGTTAGTCCAGCCTTCCCAAAAATCAGAGGCACTGTATACTTTTTGACAGGTAAATATAGTAGTTGTTGTACAATTAAACGATTTACTAGTACTGGGCTGGTAAAGTAAAAAGAGACTCTCCAATAAGTTGTCCTGTGGCTCTGACAGAGTTTAATTCTCCAGGAGGCAGCCATTACCCTCTCAGGGGCCCAATTACAAGTCACACCTCAGTCTTAAACAACACTTCCTGACTTAAGGCGATTATTCTCCGGGTAATTAAACACAGACTGTGAGGCTTTTAGTAGATTAATTTCATACTGTTGTTGTTTACAATGTGCAAAATAAGGTCAATGACATAAAAAAAAGCCATTCATCTATATCAAAGTTATGGGATTATAAGATAAAGGTAATGCAAATTGATGAAAAGAAACAAAAAGTACAAATTCTTGGAACATACACCAAGGAGCTACATGTGATGCAAGTATTAAAAAAATACTGTAATATAATAAAGTGAGAGTGAGAATCTACACCTGTTTTAGTGCCGTTTTTGATTTTGAAACAAAACCTAGAAATAATTGATATTTGGCACACAACCTGGAACTTCCAGACTAGACTTCTATACTATTTAAAAAGCAATTTATAGGCTACTATTAAAAAAGGAACCTGTAAAACTGCATTTACAAATTGACCAAACTAAAAAAAAATTTAATTGACTCCTGAATTTTGGCATTACCCGCAGATTTGCCTGTGTTGATCCAGTCTGGATTGGCGATGCTTGCGATGGCGAAGATGTCTGCAGCGAGGAAGAGGCATCCTGAAATCACGGTGAGTTTATCCATGATTGTGGGTGAAGGGAAAGTGTCTGATACCCTGGACGGGACATTGAACCCAGTGTCCCCCTGACGCACTTGTCCCACTACCCTGAACACCTCAACGAAACTCCCAGGTCACTATTTATCATCGCTGGCTCGGACATGTTGTGACACAGGAGTAAAATCTTCACCCTTTTTAAGTTGTTGTCGTCAAAGCACACACCGAACAGTGCTGGGAGGAGATCGAGATGAGATGTATTATTATGCGAGGAGGACGAATTTCCAGCAGATAAGACAGATCTTGCATTTAGCAGACTTATTTCCTAAATACGCGGAGCATTTTTCAACAATCAGGCCCGTCATGCTAGCAGCACAGCACTTATGGAGTTTTTAATACGTCCGTGTTGCATCGTTTTTTATTAACCAAAAGCGTGAAGATCAGGAAGAAAAAAGTCGTTGGAGTCTTGTAAAGGCGGTGATGGTCTTGTTCGGCACAGCTCAGCAGCGCAGTGGAAACTAAACACTGACCAGTCCAGTTCACGCCTCCTCCATCATTGTACTAGGTAAATCTCGCGAGACTATGCGTGATTGAAGAGACTGCGAGTTTTCAGAGTTGCCCAGTTTTGTTCTGCATGTATTGTGGCACTAAAAACCATAAATAGTACCTTGTGGCATAAAAACACAGCTGCAGTTCGTATATTACTTGCACCTCGTAATAATAATAAATTTAGCACCAAATTGTAAGATATAATTTATTACTTTACAGCAGATATACAGTAAACAGACGTTTAAAGGGGAATACATTTATAGAATACCCACAAATAGTGATGTTGAGATATTCGTTTGAATAACATCACTGCTGGGTAATGTGTTTGTGTTTTGTTATAATCAAAATAGAGATGTTTTACAACCTATTAAGTTTTAAATGGACAATGAGAGATTTAGAGTTCATCAACAAATGGAGTATTAACAAGGTTGCCACTCGAAGCCATAGTTTTCTTGCCAGAAACAAATGTCTTTGCAGCCTGAAAACATAAAAAAAATTATTAAGAAACTTGGGTCAAAGACAAAGTTGATAAGAAATGTAAGGGGTCTTACGTTGGCAACATCGGTCAGGGAGACATTGTCGATATTTTTAGAAATTTCCTCAGCAGAGTTGTACGATCCCACTACCAGTGCCTGTGTTCCAATAGCTTCCAGCAAACCCTCTGAACTCTCCAAGGACATCAGGAACTGCGCCTTTAGCTGTGCTCTGCAAATAGTATGCCAAGAGATTTTTTTCTCTACACGCTCAAAAAATAAAAACATGAAAAGAATAAACCCTGTGATGTTTTTGAATCGAGTTGTAGTGTTTTCTCTACATTTCAAAGACTTACTTGGCTCGAGTAAGATCTGCAGCTGTGACTCCTCCATCTGCAACAGTCTTCACTTGGCTTACAGCAGCCTTGATCACCTGCATGGTTGTCACATGTCAGCATGTATCAATGCATTATAAAATTGGGAGCCAAAAATAAACTAACACTCATTAGGTTTGCTTTGTGGATATATTGCTGTGGCTTGTAGTCATTACCTGGAGACTGATCTTAACCTTATTTACAACTGCCTCTTGTCTAGTCTTCATTGCCCCATATTCTAACATTTAACTTTAATACTATTGAGGATCTTGACAATTTCTATGTTAAATCAATAATGAAAGCTAGATTTTGGCTCCCAAAATGGGCTAAGTCCCCACTCACGCACACACACACGCTTAAAATGATAGTGATACTCACATCCCGAGCAGCTGCAGGTTGGGAAATGGTGTACACTCCAAACAAACCAGAGTCTGTATAGCTCACATTGAATGCACAGACCTATTGATGTAAGGCAAATGATTAAAGAATTAATAAAGGGACATAGTTTCTAATTAATTCACAGAATATCATGTCGGATAATAGACAATCTTAACTATATACAGCTTCCATAGAACGCAAATTTAAAGGTTAAGAGAGAAACTCACGTCAAAAGGATCTGGGGTGGCTTTGGCTACTCCCTGGCACAGCTTGCTTGTGATGTTAGAGCCCCTCTTGACATGAGGTCCTGCTCCCAATAAATGCTGCAGCACCCCAAACGACAGTGCATTGCTGCCCCCTGCAGCAGCCCCTTCACTCACCACCACTGAGTGCACCAAGCCGCTGGTACTGGGAAGGCGGACTTCACCTAATTCATTGATTTAGAGGTATTAGTAAGGGTGCCACATAACATCACAATGCTAAAATGTGTCACAAATTTAAGGATGGGAACTTAAATTTAGTCTTAAAGGCACTCATGTCACAGCCTGATGTTCAAATTCTGTTTTAAGAGCCTTAGATGTATTTGAGTGTCTATTTAGTATCACTGAGTGTAAATAATATTTTAAGATTAATTGCATTTTCATGATAAAGCAAACAACACTCACCCCCACGGTACTGAGCTTTAGCACCCTCTGCCCCTGTACCACTGCGAATGTTCAAGAACTGTTCTCCAACTTGTTTCAGTATACCGTGATCCACACCTGTTGAGCATTATTCACACACAGGCCCTCAAAGATAAAAACTAAATAGATTCCCAACTCTTGTGCAAATAATCTTACCAAGTCCAACAAGAGCCATCCTAGCACTTGTGAAGTTATTCTGCACAAAGTGGTGCAGCTGGTGGTGGAAAAAAATATTATTAATGCTATAAACACAATTTATCTCCAGAAGAAAGTTGACATAGCAAATCACTCACATGATCAGACTGGATGTTTCCAACCATGTGGTTGGGGCAATACAGGGAGTTACACAGGGCATTCTTGTAGGCAGCATCATGTAGACCTTCAACTACACCTGACATTAAAATCATACACATTAACAATATTTGGGGTAAATTGATTAAAATGTTAATCTACATTTTTTTGTAAATTAATGCATTTACAAAAAAAATTAAAGATTACCTATCTGAGGACTGTGCGCAGCTTGGGCCTTGTCCATCTTTACCCTGGAAGTGAGCTCAGACACCTCCCAAGGTCGAAACTCAGGGGCAGTGGTCACATTAATTAAGTACTCCATCACTGTGTCACTGCAGAGTGAAACAAGTTTTAATAACAAATAAAATGATCTTCAAGTAGAATTCACAAGATATGTTATGTGTGCTGTCAAGCAAAAAGGTAAATAAAATAAAAACACAAATTACATGTCATCTCTCAGGCAGTCGACAGTGTAGATCATATTCTCTCTGGTTGATGTCACACTGCAGAAAAACATAATATTTTAAATAATTTATTCACATACATAGTAAAAGTCTGTTATTGTTTACAAACCTTAGACTTCCACCCACTGCTTCAACTCCACGGCATATCTTAAAAGATGATGCTCCTTTTGTGGTCTAAAAAGTAAATTGTGGTAAACAGCATTAAGATAAAATAACTTGCAATATCCATTTATGAAAACAGAACATGTAATACGATGCTATTTTAGAGAGCAGTGGTGTCCAAGTTTTAAACAAATTCATTTTCTATGCCCAAATTGTTTCAAACTAAATTCTATAGAATATAGTGATTGTATACCAGGCTGGCAGCAAGGCGGAGAAGATGAGTGACTCCTAAATTGTCTGGAGTTTCATAACGACAGCCAGCTTTGATAAACACTCCAATCTTGGATGCAGGGGAGTAATTCTCTTGTGATGCAATCACCAACCCACTGGGAAGCTTGGTGACCTGAAGACACATTATATTCAGTTATGAAAATTTGATAGCTGTGCTCATTTCACCAAACTTTTAATGTCTCAGAATTACTGACCTGCACATCCTGTGGTTGGAACTTGACATGTTCAGCCTGAACCTTTCGAGCTGCCTGGGCAGCATAAAGCCTTGACTGCAAAAATAGATAAAAGTCAACTCAAAATACAACGCTTTGATTTCACTTAATTTATTATTATAAAGTCAGTGGATATGACTCAATTAGTGCTGTGGTAGCTCTCAGTAGTTTCATAAACACACATTTTTCACTTATGCTTAGTGCATAAAACATTATGATGTTACACTATGAGACTAACGTTACATACATACTGACTGAATTTCCCTACTGTGTAGCACTGCTAGTGAGCAGCTCAGTCACGTATTGTGTTCATCGGTGTTTTTTACTTATCACCTTTCCATATTTTGTGGAAAATCGACCATGCATCTAACCAAAATATGAATGTTGTTGTAGCAAACAATGTATAAAAAGAGGCATTTTTTAAAATGACTTTTATTTGTATCACGTTTTGTTGAGGCTCTGGGGGTTATGCCAGGTTACGAGTGACCGCTTCCTTGAAGCACCAGGTATTTGTATGAGCCCTGACTTGATACGTTCACGTCACTATCAGTCTCAAAGTGTAAAGTTATGTGTTTGCTGTTATCCGGACATGTATAAATGTTATAACTCTTACCGATAATTGTGATATTCCCCGAATCCCCTTCATCTCCCCTCTCTCCTTCACACAGGACGGTAGAGCAATATGGCCGACTGAAAGTGCCCTACCCAGCATTCTGTGCGCGGATGACGCCATCGACGCTAAACCAAACATAGTGCGCCCTCTATCGGTTTTACAATCAAATAGTCACCGCCATATTATAGATATGGCTTTAAAATATCTTTTTTTTTAAATCAATAAATGCGTTTATAACCGATATATTCATTGGCATATGATCTAATACATGCATAAACAAACACTTTCAGGCAAAACTTCAAAAAAAAAATCATGCTAGAGCACGGGACTTCCGTTCCACTTGCGCATGTGCACTGTCCCACACGTGGGGTAAACGTTTATAGTTCTATGGTTTGAACGAACCGCATGCGACAGTAGCTACATACCTGATCAGGCTTGTGTGAAGCAAATTTTACATTTTATTAGTATTTCGTCTTTTCTTCTTTTCTAGTCTACTCGGAATTAATTAGTCCTCCGTGAAGCATTTCGCCGAGAGGGCCGGAATATTTTGAAGTCGAGTGAAAATGGTAAGTCAAGGTAGTGCCGCATCAGAAGCTAAAAGTAACCATACAGAAACAGGAAATCTGCTTAATTTCAGGGTAACACTTTGTCCTGTTTCAACATTTGTATTCTTAAGTTCTAAAATATAAAGTTTTTGTTGTCTTTGCATTTAGACTGAACCCCAAGTCAACCCCAAGGCCTACCCTTTGGCCGACGCCACGCTGACCAAAACCATCCTGGATTTGGTGCAACAAGCTGCAAACTACAAACAGCTGAGAAAAGGCGCGAATGAAGGTGAGCAATCTTTGGACTAAAACCTATAAAACTTTATTTCTAGCATAGAGTGTGATTTCTGGATGACTCTTTGAATAACTTTTGAGTTTGTTAAACTTTGAAGTTATGTTGAATGTGCTGTATTTTGTATTAAATGTAACTGTATATTTCCTCATGTTCATAAATATTTTTATTTGCAGCTACAAAAACCCTGAACAGGGGCATCGCAGAGTTTATCGTGATGGCTGCTGATGCTGAACCACTGGAGATCATTCTCCACCTGCCATTACTGTGCGAGGACAAGAACGTCCCATATGTGTTCGTGCGTTCCAAGCAGGCCTTGGGCCGGGCCTGTGGGGTGTCTCGTCCAGTTATTGCTACCTCAGTGACCATTAAGGAGGGCTCCCAGCTCAAGCCACAGATTCAGTCTGTCCAAACTGCTATTGAGAGACTACTTGTGTAATTCTTTTGTCCTGTGGATGATGACCACGTCTCTTCTGGAATAAAGAGACAATTCCAAAATAGTTCTTTAGTTAAATACAGCATATGGCTTGATATGATGGTATTTTATGTTGATGAATAGGGTTTTTACTTTGTAAAAGTGTTTCATTTTGTAGTTTTACAATATGATTCACAATAAACTTTTTTATGTCATATGTGCAAGCTTTGTTTTTTAATACAGTGCTCACACAGCACAATCAAGATCTCCTGCTTTTAGTTTTTTCCCCCCATACCAACCAAATATGACAATGGTCAATGCATTTCTTGCATAAAATGAAGAGATATTTTCTGGCATGAAACAATTTCACACATCCAGAGATGACCCACATTAATTAATCCTGTTTAAAGATGCTCTAGCCACCATTAAAGTTGTCTTTCATGTTTTCAATTACAAATAGCCTAAATAAATGCAATAAAAACAAGCATTCTGTGAGCGGCCTCCACAGATTTTACCTGTAACTTGGCCTGGTGATGTCACGTGTTTTTTAGACATGCCATAAAAGTTAGATGCCATACAATGTTTCTGAGATTTCAGCCTAAACGCCCGCGGATTGGTTGTTTGTTCAAAAGTATATTTAGAGGCGTTTACATATTTGATACATTGCCAGGTAAAGTTTGAACATACAGTCAGTGCTTTGAACTCCCTGGAAAACCGGAAGTTGTCCAAAGTGTCAATCCCAAGTGTAACATGGCCGAAACTCCCCCTGTGATCATTTGGGAAGATGAAGTTCGCCGCTGGTTGCACTATAATGAACTAATTCCGCGCCTTGAAACGGCTTTGGGCAAATTCTCCAATCGGAACAGTGCGGAGGTGATTCAGCCTGTGCGCACCACTGTCCCCCTGCAGAAACACAGTGGGTATGTATAATCGAATCGAATCTGGGGTAGGCCTATATCTGGAGTAATATTTATGCAGTGTATTCTAAAATTAGTGGTCTGTCATTGTTCTTACACTAATAAAACACAAGACATTCGAAACAGAGACGGTTTTGGTCAAATTGCGTTAAAGCCTGCATGAAGCTCTCACCAGAAGTTAATCAATGTCCAAACTACTTGCGCAGGTTTCTTGGACTGATGCCTTGCTACATGGAGAAAGACGGAATCCTGTGTACAAAGTTGGTGAGCTTCTACAATAGACCGAGTGGGTCCACTTTACCATCAACACAAGCCACTGTGATGCTTATGGACCCTGAGCATGGGAATGTTAAGGCAGTTAAGTGTGGGTGCATATGCGTTTGTATCACTATGCACTTTGAATAACTAATCACAGGTTGCAATGTGCAGGTTATGAATGGAGAAGTTATCACATCCATGAGGACAGCAGCAGTCTCAGCAATCTCAGCTAAGGTCTGTACAACCAAATAATGTAATGTATCAGCCAGGGGTGGAAAGTAGTAAATGCATATTGCACTTTTAGAATTTGCAGCACAACATGTAAGAGTAGGCCATTCTTCCACTGTACAGTGTTTGCTTTACTTGTGTCTTTACTTGTGTCTTTTGCAGTTGCTGATGCGTCCTGATGCAGAGGTTCTGACCATTTTGGGAACAGGCAAACAGGCCACAAGTCATTACAATGTTTTCACAGAAATTTTCCAGTTTAAGGAGGTGCATATATTAAGGCACTGACACAAATAGCATTTACAAAACTCTTTAAGTTAAACACCTTAAGTTATTTCTTCTATTCAAGGTGCGTGTTTGGAGTCGCTCAGTGGACAGAGCGGACACCTTTGCAGGCTCTTTAAATGGTCCAGTTACAGTGTGTAAGTCAGTGGAGGAGGCGGTGAAAGGAGCTGATGTTATAGTCACCGTAACCACAAGTACAGAGCCAGTGCTGTTCGGTCAGTGGGTCAAACCAGGTGCTCATGTTGCAGGTGAGATTATCTCATTATGAAAAGGCCCCAACCAAAATGAGATGCTAAAGCTGATTTCATTAGGGAGCAATACGCTGCATCCACCCATGTTTATCTGCAACACCTTATACAGGCGGTGCAAAAAAAAAAAAAGATTGTATGACAGCTCATTGCTCATATTGCACACTGTCGTATCGTTTAATCCCTAGACAGTATATACTGTATATTTTAAATGTGCATCTGCAAATATTTTTTCTTTGCTCATTAAGACTGACAAATGCCCATGGATTATTTCAGGTCTTCCAAATAACTATTGTAGTTTAGCAATAAGACATGATCAAACACCACTTTGCATAGGGCCCCAACAAAGCTAAATAGGGCCCTAGGAAGAGGATCAACACATTAAAGGTACAGGTGTCAGTCCTCTTCCATACTTTCACTACTTTCATAAACATTACGCCTCTTGCCTAGCATGCCTAGGTATATCCCTCCAATTAAGCCTTACGTCCATAAATAAAATGGTAGATTAAGTGATGCTTTTGTCAAGCATTCACAATATTTATTTTTTGTCTTATTGAGTAGCAGTGGGAGCTTGCAGACCCAATAGTCGTGAACTGGATGACAATTTGATGAAGCAGTCAATTGTGTATGTGGACAGCCAGGAGGCAGCAATGACAGAGTCTGGAGACATCATCCTCTCTGGGGTACTTATACCACTGCAGAAATAAAATGTTTATTTGAAGTTGGCTATTTAACATCATTGTTTCAGGTTGACATTTTTGCTGAAATTGGAGATGTAATCAATGGAACAAAACCAGCTTGCAGAGAAAAGACCACTATATTTAAATCCTTAGGTAGGTGGCAAACTAATACAGTATAATAAGTATAAAGTGTACTACTGTGTACATAAACCCTTTTCTTTAAAAACAGGTCTGGGGGTTGAAGATGCAATCTCTGCTCAACTGGTCTATGACAAATGGAAACGTAATGTTGATTTATAGCTCTACATAACATTTAGCTTAATATCAAGAACTTTCTGTAAGTAGGTTTCCAAATAATTCAAATGACATTAACATTCTAATAAACATAATTATCAAACAAAAAGACAATATTGAATAGAATTTCAAAGATTTTATTTACTTAAAAAGAAATTTCTGCATTATACTATGTGAAAATAAAACCAGGTGTAGCAAGAGTAAAACAGAGTGTGAAACACTGTTAAAATGAATTTGGATGTACAGCAGCTCCCCAGAGCACCCACTAACTTTGATCATTGCTCTTCTCAAAAAACGTTCATCGATCTGGACTGCAGAGGTTGTATCGCACATGAAGGGGTTAACATTGGGTGCTAATACACATGGTTCACAGACTGGAAGAATACAGTAATAGATGGGATCAAAATGACAGGTTACAATTCAGCAACGTGATGGTTTAAAATGCTTTCTACACAAGCTCCAAGACTAAAACCGGCATACAAAATCCGACGAGGCGTACGACAGATACACCTCACTTTTAAATTGTGTCAGTTCTCTTAACATACAGTAGAATAACATGACAATGGGCACAGAGATAATAATGGCCATAATCAAAGCAGTGGCTACAACACTTCTTATTAGTAATTTTTAAGAATACATATTTTTACAAATGGTTAAACTCACTTGATGACAGAAGATTAAAACTATTAAACACATTAGTGTTTCCCATGGTTACTACAGTGTGGTGACCGCTGACTGAGTTTTGGCAGTACATCAGTCTAGTCGAGTGAGAAATGTAAACAAATCATCAGCCATAGATTAGAGACTGACAACCAAAAAGAGGAGAAATTATATTTTCCTACAACAAAATAATAAAAACAAAACATGTTTCATTAGTAAAATGTCTTCAAGGCAGCAGGAATTTCTTAGTGTCAAGGACTTTTAAGTACATCAAAGGATCCCCTTAGTAATTTTTAAGTAATTTCAAATTTGTAACTTTTCTGATTTTTTATTTGTTTGTTCTCCCTCTTTTTCCTGCATTAACCTCTAAATCATTTACACACCATAATTTTCACCAGGCCTTATGAAAAGTCACTTTATTACAGTTGTCTGAAAGAACAAGACAGACATAAGCAATCCTTTAGTGCGAATGCTCAGATCTGTGGAGCTCTTTCAAATGAAGTCTAATCTACCACTATGTAAGCAAGGACACCAAGTGTGAACTGAAACAGTGGGAGTTATGTCTTCCCTCTTAATAGGCAAGTTTGACTGCAATTGTGTAGCATACTCCCTGCAATTCTCCATTACAATAAAAGGCACTTTCTCCTCTTCTTCTTCATGGGTGGAGGGCAAAGGACTGCCCTGATGGCTTCATCAAACACTGTCTTAAGGCCACGTTGGGTCAAAGCTGAGCATTCCAGGTACTTGACTGCAGCTAGAGAGCACACCAAACAACTAGTAAGTTTAGCTGTTCCATTTAAAGTAAACAACTCAAAATAAGATGCTTTTATACTAACTTATTTCTTTCGCCATAGCCAAGCCCTGGGGATAGGTGATTGGGATGAGTTTCTTTTCCTTAAGCTTATCGATTGTGTCCTTGTCATCTCTTAGATCCAGTTTGGTGCCCACCAAAATGATTGGAGTGTTAGGACAGTGGTGTCTTACTTCAGGATACCACTAGGAGTGAAAAACTGTCAATATTAGGACCTGGAATAATACAAGTTAGTTATTAACACACAAGCCCTAGTCTCACCTTGGCACGGACGTTTTCAAAGGAGGCAGGACTCACGACAGAAAAGCAAATGAGGAACACATCCTATAAAAACAGATGGATTACTATTACTTTTGTAAATGTCAACTTAAACATGTAAACATGAACACTAAGTAGCTCCTTGTAAAACACTAAGTGAGTCTAACTGCAGGCCACACAAAGTCCAGTTTGTGCTGCAGACAAAGGACACGAACAAGAGATGCTATTCACTTGTAGACATTGTAGAGGTACTGGGAATACAAGTCACTCACTACTACCAAGTATGAATGCAGTCCATAATTCACCCGCGCAAGTCAGCGTTGTTAATATTGCCCACCCCTGGCACAAACGATCTTATAATGTATTTACCGTTTGTGGGTAAGACAATGGCCTAAGCCTGTCGTAGTCCTCCTGTCCAGCTGTATCCCAAAGGCCAAGATTCACGGGTTTGCCATCAACCATAACATTAGCAGAGTAGTTGTCAAAGCTGTTGACACAAAGAAAATGAATAAGCATACATAATATCACATTTTGAGTCCTGTTCAATCCATTTGAACATATTGCATAGTTGTCATTCTTACACTGTGGGGATGTACTCTCCAGGGAATGCATTGGTCGTGTAGCTGATGAGTAGGCAGGTCTTACCCACAGCCCTGTAATGGGTACGTAACATAAGATTAAAATAGTACAATATAAATGACTTGGAGTTTTTCATTTTCATTTCCTCATCCTTGCTCAACAGGTCGGAGAGAAGAAGAGGCTTATCATGATGCTAAGCCTTTGTTATGTCTGCCACAATGTCAACCGCAGTGGACACAAACATATCATTATTATCATTTAGCTAGTGCTTCTTTATGTTTACAATGCATTGTTAGGTTACCATTCAAAGCTGTAAAGGATTTCTGATAAATCGGTCTTAATCTCTCTTCCTGGAGCATGTGAATTGTTTACTTAAACTTTGTAAGACACACACATTATTTATTTATATATATATATATATATATATATATACACACACATATACACATACACATATACACATACACACACTTTATTTCATGAAACAGTTTTCCATCCAGTGTTATGTGTGGTTTTGAAGGGAAGACTGTTCTCATGCCACAACTCCTACAACAAGTTTGTATATTATTCCACAGATCTATCCAGTTCTTTTGTTGCGCTAATCCTTATTTGGCATTAAATTACATAATCTTATGCACCTATGAATTCATGATATAGGATTAAATAACTTGTACACTGCTCAAGAAGAACGGGTAAGATGAGCTCTTCAATGAACACATCGTGGCCTTTTGCGTAAATTAATCAAAAAGACGACTTGAATATGCGCTTATAAGCGGCCATTATGCCCGAGTCACGTCTGGGAAATGACATGCCGTGGCCTTATAGTCACACCTCACCCGGAGCGTGTCGAGAAATCAGTGTGACCCAGCTAGACTCAAAAGTAGGCACAACAACAGCTGTCGGCATGTTGGCATATTATCTGAGCCTAGTTAGCTGCTAGCCAACTGTTGCTAACTGGGTCAGCGTTTAAAAACCCCGTTCCCGATAAAAGTAAACATATGTGAATAAATTAAGCACATAAGTGGTTAAAGAAATAGAAAACATCTGAACTTACCCGTCCCCCACAACCACACACTTAATGGCCTGCATTGGACGGCTCTTTCGTCGGCTTTATCGCAGCTTTCGTCAATTAGCCACAGTTAGCTAAAGGCGGCTAAGGGACCGCTCCTCTGTCGCCTCAAAAGTACAGCGTGAACAAAGTTCAGAGGCCTCGATGTTTTCGAGATATTTTGGATATATCTCGAGCGGAAAGTGCCGCACTTGCCTATAGTTCTTCTGAGATGCCTACGCGAAACTTAAAAACTTGTAAATCAGAGGGGCAACACCCAAAAATTGAGGAGTCAAGATTGTGGAAAAACGCCCACAGTAAAGGCTGCAGCGCTGAGGACTGTGCAAGTCATATCCGGTCCGAGCAGCGCGGACAAAGACGTCCTCCTGTGGCCAACGCAGGAATTACAACAAGAATTTTGTCAATTTTGTCAACGCCACTCACAATAACACAACTAACAGTATAGTTTCAGCGACAAAGTCTAACCATTGTTTAAATGCAAATAAAACTCGTGAGAAAAGCACAGAAATATTCAAGTCAAACCAAAATGTTCACTCATTCGAACCTATTAACCATGCATAGGGGCTATAGGAAGCCCATGACTAATGGTTTATCTATCACGGCTCCAACATGATGGCTACTCCATCATGAATTTCAACTTTTAGTAGGGTTGTGCTGTCGTTGTTCTTATGTACACTAGAGGGCAGTCTCTCTCCAGCGGTAGGTGGCAAGTGTCTGCGGCTTGAACCATGGATCCATTGAACCCAGAGACTGTACAGTCACGTTTTGAACTATAGATTACAGGGCCACAGAGGCAAAAAAAAAACAAAAAAAAACAAAACAAAAAAAAACAAAAAAAAACACCACCACAGAGAGTGAAGCTAATGACATACTATTTGCACTTTGGAGATGCTGTAAGACAAAACAGGGAATTCAGAACATTCAGCTGAGAATACACATTATGCCTCATCTGTCTCCTCTGTCCTTTCATGTTTTTATCCTGATATAGTAATTTTACATATTAAAATATGTGAACATATTTTACACAGTACCTTTTTATATCATGTCAAAAAATTAGGTAGGTTACTAAGCAAGCACATTACCATATCTTTTCTCACAGTTTAATTATCACTGTCCTTCAATTTTACTTAATTTTGGTTACTGACAGTTTTTTTTTCCTATTTCCATTAGTTGCAGTTGCAAAAACTTTTGCTTTGTCTCCCTCTACAACAACAGTTTCCTCTCTGTTCTTCACCATTGTGGGTGCCTCTCTCACCCATAGTGAGAAAGGAAACGTGTCACATTACTTACACATGTGTTTAGATTAGCAAGAATGTGTGTGGGACTGATCACAATTGCCACATGTCTACAGGCCTCTTTAGCCTCAGCTGCAACTTGTTTATTTTTAGACAAGTAAAAGTATTCTTGGAACTGTTTATTTTTACAATAATGTATCCTATTGAAATGGCTACCTCATTGTGAGTCAAGGGGTCATGGAGTAGTTTTTTAAAATGGTCGTAGAAGTGTTGCAGCCAAGAGATGCACTGGGATCCATAGAAGATATATAATGACTCACAGATCAGCAAGTGCAGATTCTCACGCTGCCTTTTGAGAAATTTTACAGGAATCATCAACCTGTAGGTGAGAAGAGAACACTATGAACTGTAATAATCGTGTTTAAGCATTTACTCTCTGACCAGATAGTCATCAGGTTCAATCCCAGACACAAGAACTTTTCTGGTGGTGCTACTCGACTCCATAGAGATAATATTATTTTGACTGAAATGTTGCTGTATGGCATTAAACTTGTTTTTTTGCTCAAACATATCTTGGAATAAAAAATACCCTGAGCTGTGTAACCTCTCTACAGAACTGACCCATCTGTGTGTCCTTCTTGTCTCCATGGAGATAAATATATTTCATGCCATACTGTGGAATGTCCTCTGCAAAGCAATAACATCTCCATTGAGACAAGCAGGTGGCAGACCCTCCACCAGAAAAGTTACACAGTGGATCTTTAAGCATTATTTTACTTTGATTGAACATTCTAACTGACATGTTCTATTTTGTTCATCTGTATGTCTGCTCTCTGCACCTTCTCAAAAGCCTTGTACCCTGTGAAAGGAGTTGGGGTCTCCTTGGTAGCAGCTGTAATCAGCCTGAAGAACATGAGTATGTCCCTGACCACTCAGGAGAGCTCAGGGTCAGCTCAACCTCTCCTTGGCCCTGCACATGGGGGGCTGTGATTGGACATACCCTTCACTCAAGCACTCTGCTCCCAATCAAATGACATCAGGTAGCAAAGAGTGTTTCTTCTGGAAAACTAAACATGCAGAGTAAATGGTAAATTAATGCTTCAGTCATGGACTGGGAGTTATGGTTATTCAATTCTACACACAAAGTACCACTTAAGAAAATATCTGACTCTCTGAGTACCACCAGATTTAAACCGAGGCTAAGCCATGTCTCAATAGTTCTAAAAAGGGGCTAACACAACAACCAAAAAGTGAATGTAATTGATTCCAAAATAAATACAGACTGGACCTACAAAGGAGCCACCACCTTGATAAAACCCAGACACAGTAGGAACATGCAAACTCTATGCCACCTATGCCTTAGCTAACCGCTATGCCACCATGCCTCCAAACTATGATTTGATAATTATGATTATATGATTACTGTGCAAGCTGTTGTCCTATGATTAATGTGAATTAAACTGCTTGGCTTTTAGTGCTATAGTATTTTTTGTAAATAAATCAAACTTGTTGAAATAATGAGGGCTTCCATTCTGTGTTAGGAAGTAACTAAATACATGCTGAGAATACTTATTCTGAATACAAAATTTGAGTAACTGTATTCCGGTACAGTTATTTTTTCATTTGGTAGTATTCAGAATACACTTTTCTACAATCAAAGGAATACATATGATTTTAATCATGTTAATTAGTCTTCAAACTGCACATAATCAGTGAGAAAAATAGACAACTCTACTCTTGTGGTGAGTGCAAGTGTGATTTTCCTTCTCCAGTGAGTGATAAGGAAATGCATAACAAGCGGTGAAACAAACATAAGAACAAACATACGTTTTTAATCCTATGTTGCGCCTTTACACTATAATATAAATGCAACTCGATGTTAAAGTATTCTAAGTATTCAGAATACTGAATGGACCATCTATCAGCATACATTACAAAATACATTTTAATTCAGGTATGGTGTATTCTGAAACTAAAAACATTTTCAAAGTACTGTTATCATCGCTGCTTCCATATCTTTTACTTCTGAAATGACTAGGTTGAAGTTGAAATTTACAGAATGGTGAAATTTGTTGCCAGTGCCAGTGATAAGAAATGCTTGCTTGATTTCCCACAGTGACATTGTAAGTCTGAGTAGTTCCAAATGTGGTGCACAGTGGGGTCATTGTATTCTCTTGATGAATTAAGTCTTTTTGTCAGATGGAGGGAAATCATTCAATTCAATTATGGGGCCCTTTCTGGTCTCCACCCTGCATGGTTCTTTTGAATAAAGTGGAAATGGAGCCCCCTTCCTGTTCTGGACTGCAGCTGATACGGGAACTCCAAAAAAGTATTCTACAAAGTCCATGTTAACAACTGTAAAGGGTTTTATTTACCAAACTGGTTGACTGTCTGATGGCTCTGAGCATGCCTCGTCTGTTTAATGAGATGGGAGGCAAATGAACCAGCATTTTTGTAGAATCACAGTTTGTTTATGCTTTGAGTTTATGAAGAGGTAAGGTTGGGCCATTTTAGTTCTAATTTAGGAAAAGAAAAGTTTTTTTGAAAGCAGGAAGAACTATTAAAAACTATTATGTAAGAGTTTGGGATGAGCATATTTGATGGCAAAGAATCAATACGATAAAGAGCCCATATTACGCTATTTGTTGATCTGTTATAATGTTGTTTCCTCACCAGAAACATGTCTCGAGTTGTGTTTTGTTTCATTCACACATGTTTAACACACACACACACAAAAAACATCTTTTGAGGTCATGTGGTAGTACAAAAAGTTCTCCACTGTATTTTTAAACTCCATAGACCTTCCCTAGAATTATTTGGATGATTTCAGCCCAGGATTTGTCTGTCTCTACTCAACAAGAGGTAAATGGTACCTGTTAACTTGAAAACTACCATTACATGACATCACAAGGTGGAACAGCATTTTGAGCCTTGGAGTTGTAGACAGACTAACAATAAAGGGTTACTCAAACATGTGTGAATGAAACAAAACACAAGATTCTTTTTGAAGAGGTAACAACTTTATAACATCACTAATGTCACTAGAGTCATTTTTTGTGTAATATAGGGCCTTTAATCTTATTCAGCTATGGTACAATGTCTGACCATTATAACATAATGTATATATTGTAAAAAATGTACATGTGTAAGTGGAAGCATCATGGTGATATATTGGGGAAGTCCATTTCATCAAAGAGGGAGTGAATTGTGTTGCATGACAACACTGATGCAGAGTTGTTATTTTGGTCTATGACAGTCAGAATCCTATTAGCCTACAGGAACAACAGTGTTGGTTTTAGGCACTTGGTGATTGGTATTCCCTATTTATTTTTGTTGCTATTTATTGTTAATTTGCTTTAGTGATAGCTTCCAAAACAAATTTATTTCTTCCTTTCCTGATTAAAAAGATCACATGGAAAGTGTACAAGCCATTTTATGTCATAATCAACCAAAGAACTTTATGCCTCTGGGTCCTATTCATAATGACAAAAGCAATGGCAGCCTGACAATTGCTTGATGTAACTTCTACAACACAGTTTTGTAATGTCCTAAAGAATAAAAGTGACATAACGCATGGAGGGTGGAGGAGGAAAATTACCTTACATCACTTCCACTTCCACTGGCTTTCTATTGTCCCCCGTAGTGCTGTTCAAACTGGCCCTTTCACCCCCTCCTTTCCTGGACTGCCCCGCATGCTGGATCCCGCAGTGGGTCAGTCGGCTGTGGCCCATGCATTCCCGTCAAATACAAGCAAACATGAGTCACACAGGGCAGGGACAAGACAGGACTGATCCAGTGGTTTATTTATTTGAAGCAATTCTCAAACACAGCGTCATTTCATTATCACCATAGTAACGGATATGAGGTAGTTGTGAAAGTTATAAATCAAAGGCAAATCAAAGTGATGAAAACTAGACAGTTACTTACCGTGAGCATAACATCATATAATTTTACCAAAAATTATCCTATCCATTTTCCCATTAGTGAAATATATATTCAAGACTGGGGAATGCTATTGATTTAGGCAAATTGTAAGGGCTAATAACCTTAAACAGGCCTTTTCAGTTTATAGTAACATTTATGTTACTTTATTTTGTGATATCTGTTATAATGTATAATGTATAATTATAATTGTTTCCTCATTACAAACACACCTGGAGTTGTGTTTTGTTATCTTCACACATGTTTAACACACAAACTCTGCATATTTAGGCTGACTTCTTCTCTCAAACAGAAAACATCTTTTGAGGTCATGTGGTAATACAGAAAGAGCTTCACTGTGTTTTTAATCTCCATACACCTTCCCTAGAATCATTTGGATAATTTCCGACCTTGAATTGCCAATCTCTACTCAACTAAAGATAAAAGGTAGCTGTTGAAAACTACCACTACATGACATCACACTGTGGCACAGAGCATTTTGAGCTTTGAAAACGCAGATTGAGTAATAACAAATGGTTACTTAAACGTGTGAATAAAACAAAACACAAGTCTAGGTACGTTCTTCAATAGGTAACAACATTATAACAAAGCTTAAAGCTTTTTGTGGTTGACTCTTGTTAATATTATAGGCCTACAAGTGTGAAATAAAACTTTATGCTATATTACAGCCATAAACTTTGAGCTCGTACGCCTATGTAAAAAAGGCAACCAGTTTGTTTGAATTCTGAATCTGAATTGTTATCATCACACAAGCGTTTTTCATCTTATGTTACTTTAGTCATCTTGAAAAAAGCCACAAAAGTACTTCCTCTTTCAGTGGTAGAAACACCCTTGGTTGGCCGGTGGCTACTTGTCAACAGCTCAAGACTACTGATTATTTTTGAACAGGCTTGCAATTTGACTCATCAAATACTCGAGATAAACCTAGAATGTTTTAGGACCATTTACACAGAGTTTCGTTATCATTTTGTACGTAGATATCTTTGCATTAGCTTTTGGGTAAAATATCCAATGGTTATTTACTTGGACACAGCGGATTCCCTTGACAACACTTATTAAACTTAAGGGTTAATGATCATTAGCCTCGTGTGCGCGCCCCCGGTCAGGGTGCGCGCTTGTGTAGGTGTTGTGGGTGGGGGGTGATGTTGTGTTGTGGGCGGGGCTTGGTGACGTCCCCCCTCGTTTGCAGCGTAGCGAGTGTTGAATGCAGACGGAGCGGCGGAGGATGGAGCAGAGGCGCACAGAGAGAAGAAGATCTTATCCTCTCTCACACTCACCTCAGAGACATATTTATCTCAATAACTCATCTTAACCATATTTTATTTTATTTTTTTCATGCTGACATCCGCCCACGGGTCTACTTGAGGACATTCTGTCACAGCTACACCGGTACCGAGGGGAGGAAAATCATCCAAACACCTCGCGTAAAAAGCTTTGGAGCGTGGTTTTAAACGGACACGTCTTCTGTTGGGATTTTCTGTCACTGCCATAGCCAAAATGGACGAAGACAATCATGGTAAGGATATTTTTCTTCTCACCTTCTACTGTAGGCTATTGGTACTTGTGAGATCTGGCACTATAAGCAGGAGGATGGGTGGAGGGAGCGGATTGGATGGATGTGTGAGTCAGAAGCTGGAGGTGTCAGTGTCCATGGTTTTCACAGACCTTCAGTGAAAAGCAACCCTGCAGTTTTTATTATTTTGTTATTATCACTTTACCTAGAACACACACACTGTAGCATTGTATGCATGAGTCTCCATTCTAAAGCTCTTGGCACTTATTATCACCAATTTATTACCTGACTCCCTGACTCCAAAGTTGGTGCCCCTGTCTATCTGAGCTGTTTGAAGGGTCCACACGGATAAGATAACCAGTGGTCTTTTATGTGGGACAAGCCAGAGTAAATACTTTTCACAGAAACAGGAACTGAGTAACACTTACGCACCATATGATGTTCAAAAGCAAGTGCAACAAGACAAGTAACCAAGAAGAAATACAAACGTGTAAGTTTGTAGTGTAGACAAATGATTAACTAACTGCTAATGCACATTTTGTTTAAGGTATATGTTGAATGTAGCCCCATGTGGGATTAGGGGACACATGCTAGCTGCAGAGTGCCTTATCTGTCATTTATAGTGGTCAAACGTATTTGCTGTAAGCCTAAAGAACCGATAATGCAAACCGCCCCCTTAAGCTTTCAAGCCAGTACACTGTAAACAACAAGTGGCCATTATCTGATAACTGTCTGTCGGTTAACCTACATGCAATGAAGCCAAGGAGACCCCCACCTAAAGTTCCTCTTCTCACTTCCTTAGTGTGAAATCTTTGCATAAAAGCACCATATTTTTCTTAAAGATGCACTGCGCTTTTCTGGTGGAGGATGCGCTACTTACTTGTCTCTGTGAAGATGTTATGACATTAAACATATCCATCTAGGATTTATTAATTTATCCATGGGTGTTCCTATTGCTCAAAAATATATTTTTTTTTCTGTGAACCAGGGGTGACTCTCCACAGATCTGAATTGTAATGCAGCGTAGTGCTGTAACCTGCTTGTCTCCCTTGTAATAGATAGGTGTAATCTATTGTGGGATATTCTAGACCAAGCAATAACATTTCCATGGAGACAAGCAGGTGGCGGACCCTCCACTAGAAATCATATGCAGTGCATCTTTCATTCACCATTTACATATTTTGCTGTTCCACTAATCTTTTAATAATGTGAGAATTTGTGGTTGTGTAGTCATATTTTCAACAGAAGTCACATTTGGTAATTTCTGTGTCATTGTTTCATTTTACAGTCACTGATATAGTGTAACAATGCAATATGTTTTCAGATCTGTGCTTCACTGAATGCAAGTGCACTGCCTGGAGATAGGGCCAGTGACAGGATACGGCTGGTCAGTGTGGGTCATGTGACAGGATATCAACAGGAGCACAGATGGGGGCTATATCAGCATATCTGTAGTGCTTTTATAATGGTGTGAAGAATTAAAATAACTTACCGTAAATGTGCATATGATGGTGCACTCTGATTGCTTGCTGACACCTCTCTTAACATACTCAACACAAGCACACCTCGATAAGCAGGCACATATCCACACAAGTTAAATCAGTCAAAGCAACAACCTAGAGGAGCAGATTTAACCGGGTCAAAGTGCTCATTCACCTCATTGCTTTTCATCGCATTTAGAGACAAGATGTAAGTTGTAACTGCAAAGTGCCTCTGTGTGCTTCAAATGCATGTAAAATCTTCATTCATACAGAAAATGTATTCGTCATGTATACACGCTTGGATCAGTGCACATTCACGGCCTATTGGAATTAGTTGTGTGTCAGTGCACTAACTAGAACAATGGAGATCTCATAATACTGTTTAAACTTAAAACATAATATAAATACTACAGACATTTTTACTTAACTACTTGATGTTATTGCTTTGCCTGGAATGTTTCACAGTAGAATTTTTCTTATAATAATTGTTAATTCAATGCATGGAAAAACCTTTCCATAGATCTGACCTGGTGGCGTCACCAGCTTGTAGTCAGGTGGTCAGAATTTCCACATTTTTTTTCTCTTACAGAGCTTAAAATGAAATTGTGTTATCATAAAGTCTGTAGTTTTGCAGAATTTAGATTTTATCACAGTAAAACTTGTAAAACATTAGTTTTTACTGAATAACTGCAACCCCCCCCCCCCCCCCCCCCCCCCATCAAACCCTGTAACACTCAGTAGGGTTCAGAATGGCGGAAAAGCACATTTGTCCGAGAATAACCTTAGTCGCATAGGGCCCATTAATTCCCTACTACACCTCCAAATTCAGCAATACACTCTGTCGCACTCCTTTGGTATGGCACTCATTAAATTGTGTTTGCGGCGTCACCTAATCAGACTTGGCGCGTCCCGGCACAGTTTACATGCCACGGAGCAGACAGGGCCCGACCTCAGAGAATGGCAGAAAATCAGCAACAGGCGTGAAATGCTAAGTGTTTTTATTAGTCATGCCTATTTTTAGCATCTTTGGTTCTATAGCTGGATGGAGAAGTGGAAAGAACACAGGAGCAGTGAGCGCTTCATTGGACGTCTGGATGGCTGCCACGAAACATTAGGCTTCTGTGTTCTGTGTGATGGAGTTAGTTAATGTATATATGTGTATACACTGAGTCACTTTTTTTTTAAAAGTTAAGGCAAAGTTGAAGATCACAGACTGTTCACCATTAGTATCTAATCAGATGCAAAAAAAAATACAAATTTGGGTTTCCTTGCCATATTTTTTGCAGGGAGTTGGCTCATAGCTTTATATCTTCTTGATGTGAAGAAGATACTTGTGTCCTGTTTACACTATGTAACCTTTCTGCTGAAGCATATGCCATCTGCTTGATCTTGTATGTATTTTATATTATGTAAGTGTTTCAGTTGCTAAAATACAAGAAATCTTCTGTGAGAACTGATCTGACCTGTAGCTTGAGCCTGGTTGCGTTCCCCTTCACTGGAAAAGTTACACAGTGCGCCTTTAGAGAGCACATCACTGATCAGCATAATCCAAAAGCACTATTTTTTGAACATCTTATTGAAAATCCAGCTTCTCAACTAGACGTATTTCATCTTACATCAAAATTAGGTCAATAAATTCTCGTCACAAAATGTCACCTCTGCCACCCTTTTACGCTCTTCTATTGTGGATATGATTATGAAGAAAACTTCCCCTGCACTGGCATAGCACAGATGAGAGGTGAGATAGTGCCAGGTTTAGACTTAGTTCAGCAAATGGGGTAGTCCCTTATGCTATATTCTGATCTATGTTATAATGTGGTTTCTTCATCACAAACCTACCTGGAATGTTTTTTTTGTTTTGGAATTTTGTTTCACACATAATACATAACCCCTAGCATATGTAGGCTGCATTCTTCTCTCAAACAGAAAACACTCTGTTCATGTGGTAATACAGGAAGTGCTCCACTGTGTTTTTAAACTCCATACATTTTCACTAAAATCATTTTCATCTCTGGAATTTTCAACCCCCACTGAACTAAAGGTAAAAGGTAACTGTTCACTTGAAAACCACCACTACATGACATCACAAGGTGGAATAGAGCATTTTGAGCTTTGGAGATGTAGACATGATAATGATGATAATGATAATAAAAGATTACTCAAACATGTGTGAATGAAACAAGGGTGCATTTAGATATTATAGGACCTTTAAAAATAAATAATCTCGTCTATAATGTCTAAAATATACAACTAACTGATTCTGGTACAACTCTCACACTCTATGTCAATCAACAGTTTTATCTTGGTGAGACTATGGGAAAAGTGAAATCCCTTTCCCACCATTCTTCTTTGCAATCAAGCTCTTTCTGTCTGACTGCTATAGCTGTATTGTGTGGCCTGAATACCATCTGTACTTTTATATTCACCTTACAGCCATTAACCTAACTACCCTCCTCCAACCTTATAGACATCTAATTGTTGTGTAATTATTTGATATCACCTTACCCAGTGGCAGGCATGAAACTGGAGATGAGGTGGCCCTTTGGAAAAGCTGAAGGCGTTGAGGGTAATTTTTTTGTGGTTAATGTGATCAGGATTAGTTGGTTAGACTCGGAAGTTTAGAGTGATTAGAATACGCTCTTTGTTGTGGTGGCAGGATGGGTGCGTGGGCGGACACCAGACAGTCACTTGGGGAGAGCTGGGAGGCGAAGTGCTTGGTGCTAAATGACTCAACAGTACTGAGTTCACTGTATGTCTGCTAAAATGTATAGATTTGAATAGGGATGTAACGATATCAAAATCTCTCGATACGATATATTTTTAATATGCATCTCAGGGTACAATATTTACTGCCATATTTTGTGAATTTTTTCAACTATTGCTCCACCACAACAATTAATTTAAGCAGCGAGAGACTAGGAGACTTGTAATTTGAGATCGTGAGATTATTATGAGACTTGACGATACAATATTACGATATTTCAGTTATTGTTACATGCCAAGATTTGAGCACACTGTAGTTTCATAATATGCAGATCTGAACAGAAACACTGAGTCAGTTTATTAGGATTCTGTCAATATTGGTTTATTGATCCAACTAGGGGCCGATGTGGTTAATCAAGGTTAGGCGTTCACTGAAATAGCAAGAGTGTTTTTAAGTAAATAATTTATGGAATTTTGTTGGTGTGAAGTTAGTTGATTTGTTTTGTTTAGGTTTACACTTTGTTGTTTTTAATGAATCGGCCTCATTTCAGTTACAACAATATAGAATACTGTACCTATATATATTGTATGTATTATTTTTTCGGACAAGCATTGCAATTTATGTCTTGATAATAGGTTCACAAAGTTCACATTTTAAAAGTGTCTTGAACCAAAATATGAACTGACAAACTAAAACAAGAATTATATTTCAGATAGTGTTTGTACAGATCTAAACTACAGAGTTAGCAGTTTTTTATGCAAAATGAGACAGAATATTTGTTTGTTTGTGGAGAAATTTTAGCCTTTTGCTAATTGCGT